GATTTAAAACCCCTAAAACCAACACTACCCCCGCATCGCCACCCTCTACGCCCCCACCCCCACCCCCAAAAAAACCTGCTGAAGCACTGGCAAAGTTAGACATTTCACAGTAAATGTGAAAATTCATATTATATAATCTCTTAAAATGAACCTTTTCACCCTCTTTCCACAGCATGAAACTGTTATGGCTTAATTTATATTAAAAGTAGAAAAGTCTTTTCGGAAGGAAATACAGTCTGCAAAGATGCATATGCGTTTCCTGATCAGTGCTATTTCATACCTAACAACTGCATGACTTGCTTTTGCAGTCAGAAGCTGTTTTTGAAAAAACTGAGGTTACAGCTTTTGATTCAGTCTAACCATAAATGTAAGGCCCTTAGTTTGGTTTAGGTTTCTTTTGCAAGATAAAATAACCTTGGGGTTCACTTAGCAAGTTACACCTCAGGTCCCTGACTATAATGTAGAAGTTTGTATGTATGTTTTGTAAAAATAAAAGGTTACTTATGAATCTTAGAGGGAAGAAATGATTCTAGGCAAGGAATCAACTCCTCATTATATATCACACGTAATGCTGGTAACTGTTACCAACCAAAATCCACCAAAGAAATGTAAGAGTATGTCTGGGTTACTTTATTCCTGCAAAATATTCTATATTCCAGCACTTATGATCATTGTTTTGGTGAAAAGTCTTGGGGGAAAGAGCTGACATTTTGAAAAGGAAATGGCCAAAATAAGACTGGGTGGAGGCAAGGTTTATCTTTATGATCAAGTTCCCTTTAGGACTGTTTTCTGAAAAAAAAGAAAAGTGAATTCAGAATGTCACAGGTCTTGCATAGGTAAACTACTCGGAGGTCAAGGGCTACGTGGTAGCCAGGGTTTAGTAGTGAAATAGTGCAGAGCAGATAAACTTGGAAGAATCACTGAATACAGTTTCAAAAAGGTTGTAACAAAAAATTTAACTTTGCACTTACTAAGACAAAGCTTTAGGACACTAGAAAGGGCACCAAGGGTGAGTGGGAGAGTCTAAGGGGTAATGCAGGCAAGTGAGTATTATTTTCCCTACCCATTATAAAGGGAAAAAATACGATAAAAGAATAAAACCACAGTCATGATAAGCTAATTGCTTTGGAAATAGGCATTTGCTTCTTAATGCCCTTACTTTAAAATTTTTGTTTACATAAGGGTATCAAATATTTGACTTAGGGCATGACGTTCAGTGAAAAACAAAATAAAAGGGTTTTTAGTAAGGCTACAGTATTATTAAAATTACATTACGTTCATCAGCAATGGAGTAAGTATATTATTTGTCCCCCTTTCTTTCCACCTGACTTGTAGTCAGCGTGTGACCATCATCCACCCCTGGATGAGGACAGGATGCACAGTGTCACAACAGGGGCTAAGCAAGCAAGCTACCTGAGGTCTAGGGTCCTCTGTGACCCCAGGTGAGTCACTGCCCTCCTGGCTTTCATTGGTCTCCTTTACTTACTAGCAACACTCCTTTCCTAAGCTCACGATCTGAAGTTCACCCTTTTCAAGATTGCTTTAGATAAAAGCTTGGACATCTGAAAATGACTGATGATTTTTAGCTTCTCTTTTCGGAGGGAGCAATTAGCTTAATATTTAATGGGGGAAAATGAGCTTTTGAAAAATTTTCAGATTTACGTTATTCATCTCTTAATATAAAATTGCAAAATGCTTACATGCTGCAATAGTTACTCCTGGCAGTAGTCACATGGGCCGTACAATCACTCATCACTCTTTGGGGAGTTGCCCTATCACTACAGAGAGCATCTCTTGAAAAGGACAGAAAGAATCTTCTCCTTTGAAGATGTCAAGTCTCCTTTCCACCACTAGAGTGGCTGTGGTTTCTCCCTCTACCCAGCAAGCTGCTGTTAGCCAGCCCTGAGCTGTCTTTGTTGGTTCCCATCTTCTGACCACCTTCTATTTTTTCCCTAGCTCCTTGGGTAGTTGCTACATTTTAACTGCATGACTTACTTGACCTCTATCTAGTACCTGAAGAGTAGGCAGAGTCTTTGGAGCAGTACTGTCCTAATTCGTCTTTGAGCAAAACCTAAAACCATCTTTGAATTCCTTTAAATCATCTTAATGATTACACGGGGATACACATTCTCACTCTTATCCATCAACTATCTCACTTCTTTTTCTTTCACTTCAAGCATGGATTCTGATTTTAATCCAACACCTTCTTAGAGATTCTTCAGATGTTTTAGGTAGCATGCTCTGGGCATATACTCGATATGAAACAGATTTTAGGAGTAACAGTTTTCACTTAAAAAGGATATAAATGTGCGTTGTCAGTTGTAAGTTAAATAATGATAAATTCTCTGCAAGTATGAAGTGTCAATAATTAAGGAATGCTTTTCTGTGTTTTTCTTAACCACATTTTTATCCAAACTGCCAAATGAGAAAACCAAGACTCAGAAAGCGTAAGTGACTTATTTACAGTCACACAGCTGATCCGCGAATGACAGAACTTGAACAAAAACCCAGGTTCGTCCTCCCTTCCATGCTATATACCACACCTCTCTATTACCAACATTAAACTACTAACTTATGAAAAAATGTTTCTTAAATTTTAAAAATAAAAAAAATTGACTTCCACTTCTACAGTTGTACTTTTTCAGTTGAAACTAATAAAGTTATGCTCTTTTTCTTACTACATGGGGCCTCTTCTGCTTAAAGTTTGCTTAGAAATGAAAGTAATACTGCTTATTTCTTGGCGAACATACCTTCCAGAACAGAGCCTCCCACCCCAGCTTTACGGTCTCCCCAGTACTAAGTCTCGCCGGGCACACGGACGTTGGATAAATACCTGCGGCCATCAGGCAAGTCAACACGGAAGGGCTCACTGACAAGGCAAGAATTAGGATTATTAAAAAACAGACCAGTATTGAAGCTAAGTATTTACATCGTGGGCACGATGGTCTTGTTTTTTCTGGGTTTCTAGGATTTCAGTCGGAATTTTAAAATCTGTATGCTTATGAAATTCAGTGTATTTCTAGGGTGCTGAACTACTATCAACCGCCAGCTGTCTTGTTGACATCATTCATCAATCCTGGAGAGCACAGTATGTGACACTATCCCAGTACAGGGGATCCCAGGTTAACAGAAGTCACTTGTTTCAATCAATACAGAAAAAATCATTATCTACTACTACCATTAAAATCGCATCTGTTAAGTCACAACTGTTTTACCTATTTATCTGCACTTAACTAGCTGAATGCCACCACTGTTGTCTCCTTGTCTAAGCTGCAGCTTCTGTGTGGTAGAGGGTTTATAAATGAGACTGAGGAAAACACGGAATCCAGCCACTTCCACAAGATAAAGGGAGGCATCACAGCCAGTAAGTATAGAACAAGCTTGACTAGGCAACTCACGGGCCAGTAGGCTGAATTTTCACCAATTTGGAAAAAGATACATGAATTGTTTCAGTGGTTAGATTATCTTACTGAAAGTTTTTTTCATGTAGCCAGTTCATGGGCTAAACCTGCCAAAAATGAATCCACAGTACCTTAATACTTACATATTCTGGCTACTTAAAATTAGATGTACTGGCCGAAGTACACAGGGCAGATACTGGTCACCATTTTAACTCATAAAAATAAATTGATTTTAATTTTTTATAGCTAAAGAAACGAAGTCAGGTAATTAAAAATACTTAGAGCTATGAAAATGTAAAGAAATCAAAAGAACCTAAGAAGGAATTGTAATTCTGATTTCTTAAACCAAAACAAAATCATGTGAACTCTAACACTAAAACAGTGTCTACAGAAAACCAAAACATTACATACTGGAAGATAGGAAAATCAGTCGCACCCCAACTTTTGACATCTTGAGATCCAGTGACGAAACAAATGACTGATTATACCCATCTCTTAACCAGTTTTGGCAGAGTGTAGACAGAGTGACGTAGGCCCTTTACAGACATGTAGTGTTTCTGTAAAAACTCTTTTTCCTGACACCTAGATAAGACCCAGAATCTGGTCTGGTCATCTGGACCAGAAAGGTTAATGCATAAGCTGTTTTGTATTTATTCCATGAGATACTGGAATGGAGACAGAATAAGAAATATTTCTCTTTGAAAATACATATTTAAATGCAACCATGAAAGATGACGGTAGAGATGTTTTTTTCTTAGCGCTTCAAGTGATACTTAATACGGAAGGGCAAGTCCTGCTACCTTGCTGAGTAAAAGAGACAAATCCATAATATGGCCATATTACTTCTCCATAAAAATAAAATTTATCTTATTTGCCTCTATTTTCTTTGTAGAAAAAAAATTTTTTTGTCAGAATTGGGAATATCTTCACCCCAGACCCAGAAATCACTTATTTTTATGCCTTGGGGAGGAAAAGGGAAAATATAAGCTATTACGAGCAACTGAAAACTGGCATTTAGTAAGAGCTATGCATAAAGGAGAGAAGTGACTCCTTAAAGCTCAACCAGATACTCAGTATACACTGGTTAAGTTAGGACAAATGGAAGAAACTGCAAGAAGCACCCATTTTACTCCAAATCCATATCTTAGATATTTCTTTAGAAGGTTAAGAGAGAAGAAACTAAACACACATACACCCAAAAGATCTACTCCAACATGCTTGCTTCTATACAACTTAATATAGTATAGTCCTATTATATTACGGCTTATTATGCAGATTTGAATATACGAAGTCAAACCATATCTCATTATTTTCCAACAAGTTAGGTACACAGAATAAAAGCGTCATAAAATATAACCTCTGTGGCAGGTGCTCATCCTGCCCTCCAACACCAGCAGTATGAAGAAGGCCCTCTGAAGTTACAAATGTATTTGAAAAACTATAAACATGACAATTTAACCAAACTTATAATCCTTTTCCCACAGGTAGGAAAAAGATATTAAAGCTGTTCTCTTTGGGACCCAGATATCATCAGCAAAAATGAAAATGCAAGAAGCCTCTTTTTACAGAATTAGAAGAAAACTGCAACGTCAAACGAAATGAGAAATGTGGGATCTTTTATGTAATTCTTACACATTGGCTATGAAAGTGTTTCCCTGCAAAGAGAAGAGTCTTGTTGTGTCGTCACAAAATGATGGGGAGTGCAGAGGGAAGGTGGGATATAAGGTAATCAACCTGGATAACAGTATGCACCTTGGATGTTAGCAAAAGCGAAGCTAATAGCTTATAAAAAACACATGAAATATATAAAATAAAATGATTTTCATATACATCTTAATTTAAAATAATTAATGCATCAAATCCCTGTTTAAGACTTTAACCTGAATATCAAATTTAAGAGTCCAGACTAGTTACTGTTACTGTGGCTCTTCCCCACATATAACATACACACTATCAAAAATAATTTAAAAACTTTCACATTCTTAAATCTAAATTAGTGAGATATTTCTCCAGAAATCTTCCAAATAAATAGCTTTAAAAAAGAAAGAATTTAAAAGCTGTTAACTTTAAAAAAAAATCTGTTAAATAAATTATTGATAATTCTTTACCCTACCACTGAAAATAAATCAAGACACTACCAACAACAAAATGAAATTCAAGCCCTGACAAGAGACCTTTTCCAGTTCAAGGTCTCTTTTTAAGGTTCTACCCTCCTTCTTCCTCTCCCCCACCAGGTCCAAACGGTTATTGCTGAGTGGGTGTGGCACAGTGAAAATGCAGCATCAGGTTCATTTTGTTCCTCCGGCAGTGTTCTCTACTGTACATGCAAACTGCTCCGGGCAGGGGCGCGGCGGGGAGCGCCAGGCTCCCGCGCCTCCGCCACTAGTCTGTCTCCAAAGGGAAGAGCGGCCGTAGTGGCAGCTCATCACACGAAGAAACGGGCATGGCCATTTCTGTTCAACTTCAGGATCTTCCCAAGACGTTGTTTGGCTGTGGCCATTCCTTTTTTTGGACGTTTACCTGTGAGACAGCAACGACAGTGTGAGTAACAGTGAAGACGGCTCCTGACGGCACCGGGAAGGCTTCAAGGGAGGGTTAGGCGGCAAGGCTTCTGGGTGTGCTAGAGGGCCAAAGCCGCACTCCCGGAATTCTCCTGTTCCAAACCTCCCATCGCATTACTCGAGAGAGAAAAGCCAATCTTCACGTGACCTACCAGGCCCACCCACGGTCTGTTCCCGCCTCTCTCTCTCGAGTAGGGGCCCCGACCCGACCTTGCATCAAACCGGCTTGGGCCACAAAACTGACAGCAGCTGCATAAACAGCCCATGAACCGTTTCTCACCCTGGTACCGTGGGCCACACTACCTCCTTGACCTTCACTGCAGTCTGCCCTGCCACTTCCCCAACCCAGCAGGGCTAACCCCTTACTCTCCTCGTCGGGATCACCACCCCCTTCAGAAAGCTACGCCCAAGCCCCGGGGCTGACCTAGAGAGCCTGCGGCTGAGGGCCCACAGCGACCTGCGCACACCGCCCCGCCGCACCCGCCAGAGCGCATCAGGCGGCAGGTGGCGGGCAGCTCGATGGCGGAGGCCGCTACACCTATCTGAACTGCCACCGCCACTGCCACACACGGCCAAAAACACTCCGCCGACTGACGTGTCCACGTTACCTTTTGTTGCCTGGTTGCTGATAGGTGGTGGATTTGACGCGGGTCTCTTGGTGGGGTGAAGGGGCACGGAAAAGGAAGTTTCACCAACTGGCCTTTCTGGGCTTACGCTGCCATTATTTATCCGGCACGCCCCTGAAATCAAGCTGGAATTCTGCGTATACTTCCCATTTTGAGGGCTTGCGCCACTGCTGTCCACGGAATTCCTACTTTGTACCTTCTGACTGATTTCTGATGAGCCTTCCTTTTTGATGCATTTCTGGCCTCTACTTAGATCCTAAAAAAAAGGAAGGAAATAAGGCTGGATTTTTAGAGTTCCTTTACGGTAAGTGAGGTATTTAACCTCTCTATGCAACAGCAAGTCAAGGGAGAGAAGAAACAGACCACTGAACTTTGGTTTTCTTAACATGTAGCAGCCACAGACGACCACCCCGTCAGGAAGGTCGTGTCACCCCAAAACCTGACAGCATGAAAGGACGCAAGTATGGAACTTCTGCATCATAACTTAAGTCCAGAAGAAAAAAAGTGTGTGTGTGTGTGTGTGTGTGTGTGTGTGTGAACTTTACACATACATATGTAAATGTGTGTATCTATATATTATATGTAATGTATATTATATTATAATACGGCATTCTGCACGTGCCTTGACATGCCATGGAAGGAACACATGGTTGGGACATGTGAACCTACCAGTTCCTCAGCACGTCACACTCCCGTGTATCTCTAACGGTGTGATGCACCATCTTTTTTAGAATCTAACTTCTGTTACGGTTCATCTCCACTGTATTTAAATTGTTTGCTAAAAAAAGCACATAGGTGCTGAGCCCCAAGCCTGGTTTTCCTCTAACAATTCTTCCTTCAATCTCTTTAAGAGATCACTGAGTGAACCATCAGGAAAAAAGCCAACAATGCTACTGATGGGTAGGTCTTGAAACCAATGGAAAGGGTCATGACTGGAAGGAAAGGAAAATACAAACTTGAAAAGAGCATACTGAAGATGTGATGTTTCATGAAACTAGCCGTGTGTGTGTGTGTGTGTGTGTGTGTGTGTGTGTGTGTGTGTTTAATTCCTGATTCTGCAATGGTCAAATAAGCTTTAAAAACAGCACTACAGGCAAAAGAAAACTGACTTTCTCTAAGGTGATCTTGCTAATCATCTGTCCTCTACTTCTTTATTTTCAAAGACAATTATAAAAACAACAGCTACATTTAAATACTAGCTTACTTTAAAAAAAAAAAAAGATTTTAAGTAATCTCTACACCCAATGTGGGACTCAAACTTACACTCCTGTGATCAAGAATTGCATGCTCTACTGACTAAGGCAGCCAGGCAGCCCAATAACAGCTTACTTCTACTACTGAATCCTATAATGCTAATAAGTTAGAAACATTATGACTGCTAAGGCACTATAAAATTAGACACTGAATAAGTGAATTACTAATAGTTAAGGGATTCCTTCCTTGAACTTTGATTCTGGAGCATACTCTTCTATTAAAAGAACCTGTACTTACAAAACGTTACCTTAAAAAATTAACTTGGCTCTTTTTGTCATTGTTAAATGTCTAAGTATTTAGAAAATTTAGAAAGGCAAATGAAGAAAATAAAAACCATCCATCAGGGGCGCCTGAGTGGCTCAGGTGGTTAAGCGTCCATCTCTTGATCTTGGCTCTATCTCAGGGTCATGAGTTCAAGCCCTGGATCGGAGCCTACATCCCAACATGGAGCCTACTTAAACAAACACCTATGATTCCACTACTCAGTGTATGCTTGGGGTTGGAGAAGTTAGGGGACTCTCTACTCTGCAGCATGAAAATTTTGATTCTTTGGCTGTCATTTTCCAAAGTTTGTAGCCAAAGGTCCTATCACTTTTCTTGTTTGGTGCTACTGGTAAAGCTGTGGCTTTTCAAAAAGCTATCTGAGGTTCATTTTATTTGGTATAAGCATTTATATGCTGGGGTCCTAAGACATCAAGTGTCTTGGAGCAAGGGCTCTTAATCTGGAGTCAATGGATGGTCTGAGTAACAGTGAGGCACAAACCGTAAGAAAATGCTATGCAAAAATCAGTATTTATGGGGCACCTGGGTGGCTCAGTGGGTTAAAGCCTCTGCCTTCAGCTCAGGTCATGATCTCAGGGTCCTGGGATCGAGCCCTGCATCGGGCTCTCTGCTCCGTGGGGAGCCTGCTTCTTCCTCTCTCTCTGCCTGCCTCTCTGCCTACTTGTGATCTCTGTCAAATAAATAAATAAAATCTTAAAAAAAAAATTCTTCAAAAAAAATCAGTATTTATGATGAACACTTTTCTGGAAAGAGAATCAATATCTGACATCGAATTCTCAAAGAAATTTGCTGTCTAAAAATGTTCAAGAAACAACATCAGAGATTAAAGAGAGATCCTCATGGTACTTTTTCCCCCCTCTCCTTCCCGCCGGACATAACCTAGAAGTGTTGGCTGCCAGTTTTCAACTTTCCTTAAATCAACTAAACTATTCTTTTCCAGATCACAGTCTACCCATGAGCCTTGCATTAGTTGTTACATCAGAATTCTTAAAAACAGACAGCTGTTCAAATGTGCATTTACTCATAAGTTATTTTTTAGCTTTCCAGATCTAATGGTTAATTACTGGTTGCAGTAAAAAAATAGAAAGTAGAAAAAGAGTTAATGATGATCCTAAATCTCCTTTTGATGTTTCAAGCCTTGCATTTTACCTGAAGATGAAATCTGGAAGTTGTATCAAATTGTTTAATCCAGGAAGAACTTCTCAAGTCTTGATCTTCAGTCTTGACATGGTACCCTAAACAGGAGTTTTAATTAGATTTTCTCCACACAAACTTGATCGTAACAAACAAAATTCACCTATTGTTTAAAACTAGAAGTCCATTTAGGTTGACGCTTTATTTAAAAAACGACTATGTTAACGCTTTATTTACTCATGCACTTTCCACCACACTGCTTTCCCTCTCAAAAACAAAAGAGTCATCAGCTCACAATCTAACATGTTAATTCTTTCAACTCTCTCAAAGACTGTCTATATGACAGCTTTTGTGCCAGATGCTGGAAGATCCAGAGTCAAGTTCTATGGCCATCTGCTGTAGATGGAAAAGCCAAATGCAATATACTCGCTCTAAAACTGGTATACTTTTCCATATAGAATAAAGGCATATGTTTGCCTGAATTCTGCAGTATTTTCACAGAAGCCTTCTTTTCAAGTGAGGACCAAAGAAATTACAGGGAGAAAGAATGGTATAGACAGACAGAGAGACCTAGACCTGAATTTGAGCTTTTCCATAACGCCTGGATTTTTAGTCAAGTTATTTAACCTCTCTAAACCTCTGTTTCCTCTTACACAATAAGTCAAGATTTTGAGATCAGACAGTCCTCGATTCCAATTCCAACACCAGTGGATAATAACAGCTATGTAAGTACGGGTGAGTTCAATTAACCCCTAAGTCTTCTTGCCTCTACCTGTAAAAGTCTTATTACATACACCAAAATGTGGTTTCAAGAATTAAGTGAAATGGATGTCAGGTTGCTGGTATACAATCCACACAACCAGGTGGGAATGAACACGATTTCTGCAGCAAGCATCTCTGCACAGGCTTTCATGTGATACCATCTTCTTCCCCATCCTCCTCAGACTTTTGGGCAACAAAATTTCCCCCAAAGGCACAGAGAAGAAAACACTACATGGCCATCACTGGTGCTATCACTGAGTCTTCTCTTTCCCAATAATTCTTTTTTAAGTAGGAGAGAGAATGTCCTCAACCAGAAACAGATCAAAACTTGTTTTCCCTCCCACAAAAGGAAAGAGGATTGACGGTTCAAGCCTAGCAGACCACGTAAGATGTCTCCACACTCCTTCCACTCAGAACGGCTTACGAAAGGGAACAAGTACTAAGTGTCTTGCAATAGCAGTGGTAGGATTATGCCAGTGAACACGATTCTCCAGACATTAATTTACATTTTGAGTTCTTATAACTTGCATCTTGTATCTGTCAACTTTATGTATTTTTTTGGCCAATATGCTTAATGCCATTTCCAACTACCGATGTGCAATTAACAGTTCTTACTCATACTGTCTAACCTCAACTAGGATGGAGAGCTATGACGTTGGGGGTCCTATGTTACTTTTTAGAGACCGATCATTTATGTTTCTTACCACATTCCACTGGCTTATCACAGCGATACACCTGTCGTGCCTCCTGGTTACTGCTGTGGCAGCCGCCGGGATCCTGGAGACAGTCTCCTTCGCCATTGCAGTCTGTGCTTTGTATCTGCCTCTGTAAACACGCGGAGTAGTGCAACCCTGCCATCGACAACATGCCCTGAATAGCTTCTTCCTCTGTGCTCGTCGAGGTAGGACATTCCCTAAAGAGAAGGTAAGCAGAAGGACAAGAGCTTATTTCTTCTTCTGGCATCTTCGGTAAAAGTTAAAATTAAAAAATGTTTTCATACTGCTTACGTTACAATGTACTAACCATTGGTAAGCCTACCTTTTAATTGGAATTTCACTTCTAGAGGGCTTCTGGCCCTTCTGAAGGAAGTTCCTCATCACAGTAGAGTCCTCCTTGAAGTTTGATGTTATTTCTTGTTTTTTTTCATCACCTGAACTTTCAGACTCTTCAGTGGTAAAATTATTTTTCTGAGATAATAATTAAATGGAAGCAAATCTATATAAGAAATCTGATTAAGACTCTATTAACTAAAAACACTGTATCAGTCTAGACAAAGTTAGAAACTTAATTATCATGTAATTACTTCTGTATTTCTATGACAGAGTTAAAACCTCTAGTAATTGGAGTATAAAATTCCTTAGTAAAAAACACATAGTACCAGTTGTCTTTAAAGTCAAATGAAATATAATCTAGGAGAAATATGAGAAACATAAAAACATCCACCCTTTCTAAAGCCAGACAAAAGCTATGTTTATCAGATGTCAACACACATGATAGGGTGTGTGTGTGTGTGTTTGTGTGTGTGTGTGCTTTTGTGTGTGTGTAATTACCATTACAGGAAGACCTTGTGCCACAAAGGTCATGGAGACAGGCTTTGGGAAAAGCTGTCACTTATTTCCCCCCCGCAGGTGAAGGAAAGACGGGGTCATCTTTCCATCAAGCAATGCACAAGTCTCGAGGGTTTGGGCATACCAGTGCAGTGCAATCAGGTCCAGAGTCTTCTGAATCAGAAATATCAGAATATTCTGATGATCGATTCCTGAGTTCCGATTTCACACTTGTAAAAAACCCTGCGAAGACAAAGGAAGAGAGAAAAAGAGAAAGTCAGTGGAAGCTCATGAACAGGGTGGGACCTAAAGTCAGACCAGCTTCTGCACAGGTCTCGACTGCCCCGGCTCCGTCCATTTCCACTGCTCTCCTCTTCTTCATTCCTTTCTTCCCCCAAAGACTTTTCTCCCGAATTGACTAAGATACAGATTGAACTGTACTCTTAAAACGTTTGTGGCATTTACTGAACATGATGATACAGTCCTCATTTGCGTGGAAATTTTCTATTTCTTTCCAGAAAAAAACCTCCAACGCTAAAATTGGCTACAAGATGCTTTTCACTTTCCCTCTTGCATTTTTTCCTCTCAAGAGAAAACAAAAAGATAACTCTCCTAAACCTCAAAAGCACGCAAGCAGTGAATTCAACAAGCTTACAAACCGGGCTTGACCTCTGCCCTTCTTCTCTCCCACGTGCCACTGCCAAGTAACAACTGTTTGGTAAGTCCAGTGATGAGCAGCCCTTCCCCCGGCACGTGACCCATGCAGAGTCACCAACTACAGCAATACCAGATTTACTTAGAATTAGCTCGAACCGTGGTATTCAACACAGACGAAATGTTCGTTTTTCTTGTCAAGTTATCAAAGTATTTAACCACTTTTTAACATAGAAGGGTATGTAAGGAGGCCCTGAAAAATGCTAAGAAATTAAGACTTCACTCGAAGAACAATCTCAAGGAAGAGGTATTACTGTTTGTCACATTGACGATAACCAATTAGTAACCAAGTAGAGGTCTTCCTGTCAACAGGCAGTCAAACAGAACAGTACCTGATTACTAATAGCTTCAGGGAGCTAATTATGTATGTCTCCTAATGCTGAAAACCATATACATGTTCACTAAAATTACGTAGGAAACTATTAAACTTCTGACTATTTTATTATTTCGAGTAGAGGCCCATAAAATGCATAAGCTTTCATGTGACTCTTGAAACAGCTGTCACCTGACAAGGGTGTCACTGACCAGCACATACCCTCGTCACTAAAAACACCTTCCCTGGGCATGACACGTCACGTGGCATTCACATTCACATCTCCCCAGTGGACAAATTACTCAGAAATACTTCCGATTTCTCAGGAGAGTATTATAGACACAACAATTTTCAGTCCTACTACAAACTTCAGAACTTTAAAATTAGCACATGACTTTACGTATTATCACACGGGTAGTAAGCCGACCTTTCAAACGACCTTAAAACAAACATACTGTTAAGTGGTTTTTCGGACTCTTCATTCTCCACCCCTTCTATTCCTGAACTCTCTTCCATCTTCATTTTTGCCTTTTTCGTCCTTCTCTTGTCCTCCTCATTTTCGCTGTCCGCTGTATAAAGACTTGGATCGGCGAAGGGTTGTCTCTCGTCCCTGCACAGAGAGGGGGAAACAATCACGTCACAAAACAGTGCGACGCTGCAGCTGAACGGTCTACTCCAGTCGGAGAGGAGCACTGAGACACTCTCCCCGTAAGCAGGATGTGCACTGGTGGGGACTAGGGGTTAAATGAGCAGAGGGAATCCATGAAAACTCATCTGTATGACACTGTGATCGACTTTACGTACTTAATTATCCTTCCGTTGGTCAGCAGTAACCGTAGATCATTATCTTTTGCCCTCCATTCAGGTACTGTGGAAGATGGCTGGAGATGTTTGTTAAATTTTCCATTCAGTTTAGAGCTCAAGACATCCTTAAAGTATAAAAACAGAACTGAACTTACCATGTGCCCTGAGATACACCTGCCCCACTAGAGGAACCCAGGACAGTGCCGCCTCCCACCACAACCCCACACCCCAAACCGTGCCAGTGTCTGCGGCACCAACACTAAGTGGTTCCTAAAACCACAGCATGAATGTGGCTCCTCTTTCTGCCTGGGCACCACCGGTAAAACACATTCTATAAAGCAGAATGTAAAATTCACGTCAAGTAAATTCAAAGACATTTCACTCTTGCAGAGAGCTGAAAACCTGGAGGAGCAGCACCCGGATGTGTTTTAGTTCTCTTCTCCTTGCTCCTGCCTGCTGAAGCACTAGCTGCTGGGTCCTTCCTGGTCCTCCTATCCTTAACCTAATCCCTTGTCCTTCCCAGGAGGCCCAGTCAGCAGCTTGCAGATCACCACCTGCTGTCACCAGGAACAAAGGCCACCACGTGGCATAAAAGCACAGCCATAGCTGGTTTTTAAAAAAGAGGGTTTCTTTTTTGTGGAAATTTTTTTCTTCAATAACAAAGAGAACCTTCTTCCAGATACTAAGGGTTAAAGAGGTTCAGAACAACAAAAGCTTAAAACAATATCAATACAATTATTTACATGTAAAGTCTTTAAGTTATAATTTCTTCAAATATTTTAATTCGGAAACACTTCTCTATCTTCTTCATTTTAAATTATGCCTGTTCTTTACTCAGGATGTGAAATGAGGCTGTTATGTCTCATCACAAACTCACTACTATGTTTTACAAAGGCCCTGCCCCTTGCCCCTTTGTCCACTAAGCCAGCATTTCCCAAATTTGAATGGGTTTCTTCTAACAGTCTCCCAGCTCAGTAGTTGCTCGCGCGCGGGTACTGCTGGGGAAGGAACAGGTTTTCCGCACTTGCTCGTCCCTCAGTTTCCTCGAAGTTCTGTATCCACCTGACTTCTTCCAGTATTTGTTAGCTCAAATGCCACCACCCAAGAGGCTCTCTGGCGGCCCCAGCTAAGGGAGCCAGCCACAGCCCAGCCCTTTACTCTCCCTCCCTCTACTGTCTTGGCTTCCTCTATAGTATGTATTATCTGAAATTATGTTATTTTAGTATATGTCTCATCTCCCATTCTTCCCACAGGAGCTGGAATGGAAGCTACACAATGGTAGAGACTTAAGTTTTGCTCACTCTGGTAATTTCCCCAGAGCCTAGAAGAGCATAGGGTATCTGGTAAACTCTCAATTAAACATGTCCGCAAAGAAAATGAGATCTACTCAGCCTACTACATGGATGCTCGGAAAGCTGAAGCCTATTCCCTGTCCTGGACATCTGTACTGCTGGACCCCACAATGCGAAGCAAAGATTAGAAAACAAATAGTGCCAGACTATTTTTTTTTACTATCCCTTTAAAAACTTTCAGGAACAACCAAGTCTCTTTCTATAACCATGTGTCATAATACTTGCCTCTTCCCATGGACACATCTCTAACCTTCTGAGGACCTCCCTTGTATGGAGCTCTAGGATGTCTAGGTTAGAAGGAGTTCGGACATTATGATCTCGAAGTTTCCTCATCTTTCGTCGGGAATGATATGGGAAAGTTGCTTCATTTGAGGATCGTGAAACTGGACACACAGTAGAAATTCCCTGAGATTTAACTGGTTTGCCATTTTCCTCCTTTAAGAATTAAATTCAGAGTGTTTTTAGACAAGACCAGATATATACCTGACTCAATAATCAGCCATAAAAATACTTTAAAAAACAAAAACCATTCATATAAATAACAAAGACCAAATCGTAACACTCATAAGATTCAACATAAGCTCTGCTGAGACCTTTATCCCCTTCTCTCCCCCACATAATATACTGTGAACATATTTCTTTGATTTTAAATAGCATTTTAAAAGCTGAGTAAGTATTCTACTATATAGATACAGCTAAATTTATTGACCTGATACTTACTGGTAGTTATTATAGGCTGCTTCCAGTTCTTTCCTATGATGGACACTCTTTCACATATGTATTTGCATAAATCAATAATTGCTTTTTATACCAAAGTCACCAATCTACGTAGTTTTAAAAATTAACTCTATAAATATATCATGAAGACCAGCGGTATACTCTTCCCCATTCCTGATTCCCATTCTCCAGAGCCAACCACTTACAAGTTTTCTTTTATTATAGGGACATATACCTAATTTCATGGCACATATCAGGTATTATATACATAACTTACCATTTAACATTGTGAGGTGTACAGGTCAGTGGCATTGAGGACATTTCACACTGCTAAGCAACCACACACCACGATCCATCTCCAGAATTTTCTAATCCTCCCAAACCTAAACTCTGTGCCCATTACACAACAACTCCCATTCCTCCTCACCACCAGCCCCTGGCAACCTTCTACTTTCTCTCTCTATGAATTTGACTCTTCTAGGAACTTCATATAAGTGGAATCACACAATAGTTATACCTTTGTGGCTGACTTACTTCACTTAATGTAGTATCTTAAAGGTTCATCCAACTTAAGCTACACACCAAAATTCAAGGTTAACTATTTACCCAAATGTAAAGGCTTCCAGGAAGGGGAAAAAAAAAAGTATCTTTTGAGACATCCCTCCTGGACAGGAATGCCAGCTAAAGTACCAGATGCACAGCTAAATTTGAATTTCAGATAAAGAACAAATACGGAGTCATCCTCCTGATCCGACCCGGACTGGCTGTACTCCCGGCCTGCACAGGTCATCAAAAACCTCTCCTGCCCCGCCTACACACCACCACTTAAAACTGCAACCCCCACCACCATCTCTGGCTCTCACACCCTATCTCATCCCCCTTCTATATTTTTCTTCGCAGCGTGTGTCAATTCCTGATACACTGAAGTATTTACGGCTAGCCTCTTCCTACTCAGCTCCATGAGGGCAGGTCCTGTTTTCTTCACTGCTCTCTACCCATCTGGGTATTTCATATTTGTTGGAATAATTCCAGAGCTCCTTTTTTGGCCTATGTCCTCTCTTTGAGAACAGCACGCCCTCTAAGAGCTTCCTGAAAAGGGGTCCATGGGAGGTAATTTTTTTTGAGATCTTTCCTCTTTGACATCTTCAAGATTTCATTTATTTGAGAGAGAGAGATAGAGAGCAAGAGAGAGCCCCACAGGGAGAAGTAGGCTCCCTACTGAATAGGAACCCCTACATGAGGCTTGATCCCAGGATATACTCTGTTACATGTATTCTAAAAATGTAACCACTATGTGCCTCTTCATAGGTCTTTTCTCACTCACTATACTGGGCATTCTGTAGGGAAGATGTGTCCTTGAATTCTAAAACATTTTCTTTGATTATTCCTGATTATCTTCTCCTTATTTTCTATGTTCTCTCTTTCTGGGGTGCCTGGGTGGCTCAGTGGGTTAAAGCCTCTTCCTTCAGCTCAGGTCATGATCCCAGGGTCCTGGGATCGAGCCCCCCATAGGGCTCTCTGCTCAGCAGGGAGCCTGCTTCCCTTCCTCTCTCTCTGCGTGCCTCTCTACTTGTGATCTCTGTCTGTGAAATTAAAAAAACAAAAACAAAAACTATGTTCTCTCTTTCTGTTCTTCCTAATATTTGATGGTGATTATGTAAAATGACCTTCAAATTTTTCTGTCCTATTTTAGTCTTTTTTTTTTAACTTTATGAGAGATTTTCCCAACTTTATCTTCCAATGATTTTACTAAAAAATGAAAAAGAGAGAAAGGAGTTTGTTTTTTTTTTGTTTTTTGTTTTAAAGATTTTATTTATTTATTTGACACAGACAGAGAGAGAGAGAGAGAGATCACAAGGAGGCAGAGAGGCAGGCAGAGAGAGAGGGGAAGCAGGCTCCCCGCTGAGCAGAGAGCCCGATGCAGGGCTCGATCCCAGGACCCCGAGATCATGACCTGAGCTGAAGGTAGAGGCTTAACCCACTGAGCCACCCAGGCGCCCCTAGGATTTTTTGTTTTTTAAGATTGTATTTATTTATCTGTCAGAGAGAGAGAGCACAAGCTGGGAAGAGAGGGGCATAGGCAGAGGGAGAAGCAGGCTCCCCACTGAGCAGGGATCCCGACATAGGGCCCGATCCCTGGACCCCAGGATGACGACTTGAGCCAAAGGCAGTCGATTAACTGACTGAGCCACCCAGGCTTCCCTATATTTTGTTTCTATTATATTTCTAATTTCCAAGAACCCCTTTTCTTTCTTCTATGAATGTTCCTTTGTTATAGCCGCCTGTTCTTTTTTCATGGAGGCAATATTTATATACTCTTTCGCTCAAGGATATCAATTGTATTTGGGTTTTGGGCTAAAGAACTTATTTATTTCTTTTAAATCCTTTTCTTCCCCCCTTCTTTATTTTTGGTCTTTATCTTCTAAACTCTTCTTGACTCTCTATGCATTTTAAAATATAAAGCATTAAAGAGCTAACTATTTCCGGAAATGGTGGTAAGAGAACTAGATAAACATATGGGAGGGAAATAATGCCTTAAATTTACCTTATGCTACAGACAAAAATTCAAGATTAGCTATTTACCCAAATGTAAAGGCTTCCAGGAAGAAAAAAAAAAGTATCTTCAATGCTTGGGGTGGGCAAAGATTTCTTAGAGAGGACACTAAAAAATACTAACTATAAATAAGAAAACAAATTTCAAAATCGGACTTCCTCAAAATTAAAATTTTCTGCTCGGAAAAAGATACCACTAAGATAATGAAAGATAAGCCACAGGCTATGGGTAAATATTTACAATGTTCATCATATACGAATGCATACATGCCAAATGACAAAGAACTTGTGTCTAAGATACGTAATGGACTCCTATAAATCAATAAAAACAGCATAATTTCTTAAATGGGCAAAAACTTCAAACAGGTACCTCATAGGAAAAGATACAAATAGCCAAGGCACAAGAAAAGGTGCTCAATATCTTTCGTCTTCAGGAAAATGCACATTAACAGCATATGAAATAGCATTTCATACTCTCTAGAAAAGCAAAGATTAAAGAGACAGAAAACACTAAACACTAGCAAGAATACAGAACAACGACAACTCCTACACCTTAATGGTGACAGTGGCGCAACCATTTTGGCAAACTGTTTGGCAGATTCTTATAAAGCGGAAATTCACTTACGACTTGATAACTCTATTCCCAGGTACTTACTCCCCCCCAAAATGAAAACATGTATTTGCTACAAAAAAAATACAAGGTTGTTTATAGCAGGGTTTTTTTTTTTTAATGATTTTATTTATTTATTTGACAGAGAGAGAAACAGCGAGAGCAGGAACACAAGCAAGGAGAGTGGGAGAGGCAGAAGCAGGCTTCCCGCCAAGCAAGGAGCCTGACACGGGGCTCAATCCCAGGACCCTGGGATCATGATCTGAGCCGAAGGCAGATGTTTAACGACAGAGCCACCCAGGCGCCCTGTTTATAACAGTTTTATTCATAGCGGCCACATCTGTCTATGACCCAAATATCCATCAAAAGGAGAAGGGAAAACAAATTGTGGTATAGTCATTCAATGGAATACCACCAGCAGCAAAACACAGAACTACTGGCAGATGCAACAGCACAGACGAATCTCGAAAGCATGATGCTGAAAGAAACCAGACACAGAACTAGGATATGCTGCATGACTGCCTTTGTTTGAAATTCAAAAACAGGCGAACTAATCTGCAACGAGAACCACAGAGGTTTGACTGGGGGCAGCTTACGGTAGTCAGACTGCCTAGAAGGGGGAGAAAAGACTTTCTGGGGTGACAAAAATGATTTATAGGTCTCAGTGGCAGTATTCGTTACACAAGCGTCTACTGAGTTTTCATCAAAACTCAAACTGTACTTTTATGATCTGTGCATTTCACTGCATGTAAAAAGAGAAAAGCTAACTGGGAGCTCTGTGTGAGTAGGGCTTTGTCAACTGGTGGGTTTCACTGTAGGAAGCCGCCTGGGTTGCTCCATCAGAAGGTTTCAAATGGTCACGATCACTGGATCTTCTTGGCCTTACAGGTATAGGCCAGGGTGCCAGTGTTTGGAAAGTCAAGTGGAAAAAGAATCACTCACTATGCAGACTGCCACCTAATCCTCTTGTTTTCAGCATGGTACCCATGTCCCTCAGCTGGGTTCGGTGTCCTGAAGTCCAGTGTCAAGTTCAACCTCTCAAACAACTAAACCTCTAGAGTTTTCAGCATGTGTTAAGATAGGGATTTGGAGATCAACTCGTTCCTTAAACAGACCTATAATCAAACCTGTTCTCAATCCCACCTCCACTCTTATATTCAGAGGGTCCTAGCATCCCTAATTCCTGGCTTTTTGTAGGTTCTCCTGTACAAGTAAGACCTGTCTCTGGGCTTCTCCCTCTACCCACATAGATTTTGGCTCTCTCTAGCGTGCTATATCAGTGATCACTTGTATATTTGCTTTCCAGCTTCCAAAACTGTGCAGAGTTCATCTCTATTATTTTCTGTCTTCAGGAATATCATTTTTATTCTTATTTTTTTTTTAAGATTTTATTTGATACAGAGAGAGGGGCGCCTGGGTGGCTCAGCTGGTTAAGCAACTCCCTTCGGCTCAGGTCATGATCCTGGAACCCCGGGGGGTCAAGTCCCGCATCGGGCTCCCTGCTCAGCAGAAGTCTGCTTCTCCCTCTGACCTCTCCCCTCTCATGCTCCCTCTCTCTCATTCTCTCTCTCTCTAATAAAGAAATAAAATCTTTAAAACAAAACAAACAAAACAAAAACATACTTGATACAGAGAGAGAGCAAGCGCAAGCGGGGGAGCAGCAGGCAGAGGGAAGCAGACTCCCCGTTGAGCAGGGAGCCTAATGTGGGCCTCCATCCCAGAACCCCGGGACCATGATCTGAGCCAAAGGCAGACGCTTTACCGACTAAGCCACCCAGGTGCCCTAAGGAATATCTTTTTTATTCTTTTACTATCATTTTAGTACCAAGAGGTGAGAGCAGTAAGTAGGTATGGTTAATCTACCAAGTTTAATTAGAATGCTCTTATTTTATTAAAGGGAAAATGCTCAATTTCGGGATATGCCATGTAGAAAGCACAAACTAATTTATACTTCCTAAACAGCAGGACAAGAATATAGAATTTTATCTCTGCCCATTAGATAAATGATCATACGAAACATAAATTATTTGGCAAAATGTGGCTGAATACTTTTTCATATACTGAATACTTTTTCACATAGCTTGATGAAGGGGTCTTGGGAGAAGGGAAGCAAAGAAATTTATCTGCATGAGGAGAAAAGGTGGGAGAAAAAGAAAATAAAGTGGCACAATGGTAAAAGGAAAACCAAACTAACAGAGGCAAGCAGCACTTGACACATAGGCCAGACACACATTCTTCATATTTTTATTGGATTGGCATTTGTTTCTTCTTTAGTTTCTTTGCATATTTTTCTACAGCCATTTTGCTGTCTTCTCAACGCTCCAATTAAAAAAAATAAATAAATAAACACTTTGTTGGAGGGGCGCCTGGGTGGCTCAGTGGGTTAAGCCTCTGCCTTCGGCTCAGGTCATGATCTCAGGGTCCTGGGATCAAGCCCCGCATCGGGCTCTCTGCTCAGCAGCGAGCCCGTTTCCCCCTCTCTCTCTGCCTGCCTCTCTGCCTACTTATGATCTCTGTCTGTCAAATAAATAAATAAAATCTTAAAAAGAAAAAAAAACCAAAACCAAAAAAAAAAAAAAACCCACTTTGTTGGCTACTTTTGCCCAATTATTCTTGCAGGTATAATTCAGCAATTTAAATTTGTAAAGTTAATTTAGAATTGAGGTATTTTTGAAATGACATTTATTCAACTATTGTTTCACTTCCCTTAGTAAAGATTTATAGTTTTTTTTCATACAGACCCACACCTTTCTTACCGAGTTTATTCTTAGTTTTGGTTAGCATAGGAGATTTATATTTATTTATACATCTATATATATATTTAAGATTACATATGTGACTTTTGATTTAAAAATATATTTATATGCAATTACTACCACTCTTTAAAAATAGAAAATATTTTTCTGCCATATCTGAACACACTGAAAATTAGATGAAATATTCTATCCAAGGATACTAAACGCAGCAGTTCATTATTTCTTAGATGTCTACCTCTTTCCATTCCCCAAATACAGCCCTAATCTAAGCTGTTAAATTGCCAGTTAGCCTCCATTCCTGCACTTAATTTCTTTCAGTTCAAGCTAGATACTAACAGAACCACCTTCCTGAAGAATTCCTTTAATTGAAATCTCCTTTAATACCCAGAACAGTTGCTAATTAATAAATTAAAACACCTAGCCTCAGATTTCATGGGCTTTTATCAAGGGGCATGTACATAACCAAGTTGTTCTAATACTTCAGTCAAGGGGGTCTCCTTGCCGCACACCACTAACAGAATCCCGCTTTCCAAACCAGTTCCAGCCGGCTCTACTCACGCCACCTTACATTTCTTTCTTCGTCTAATTACTTAACACATATTCATCTCTGCCCCACAGAAATGAATGGGATCTGAAATTTTGTGTATGCTCTATTTCTTATTCTTGGAGGAAGCTGAAGAAACTGAAGTGACTGGTAACTGCTTTCTTATTCCTCATTAGGATACAATCCTCTAAATTTCTCTGTAGGACTTTGGAAGCCTGAAAATCTCAGATTCCTTCCAAAAATGCAGCTCATTCTATTTCATCTAAGAGTATAAGGGCTTTTGAATGTTTGTAATGTAATGGTAGATCCATTTGCTTCTCAAAGCAGACAGTAACCAAGCATTTAGATGATCGTTTCCACTCTTACCTCTATTGCTCGAATTACTTTTGAAAGTTCTTTAATAAGATGTCCAGGTCTGACATTGTCTGGGATCTCAAAAGCATGTTCAGATACAAGCTGTATTTGGATTAATAAAGATAAGACAACCAAAGTTATTTACACTATAATAGATAAAATTATTTACTAAACAAATTTTGAATTCTCTAGATTTTATAGACATAGCAAAATACTAGTAAGCCAGGTATCAGAGTTCATGTAGTTGGTACAATACTCTTTAAGGAGAGTCTTATTAACTTATAAAATCCTCTTAGAGATGGACTGTCTCACAGTGAATTTTCGTTATACTGAGATGTAACATTGTACTCTATCCCTCAAAGCCTACTGGGACTCTTTAACTACTATTATAATTAGTAAAGTAACTAATTAAGCCCAACATTTAATTCATAATACATAAGGATTTACAAGTGGGAACACAGGCACTAGAAAATGATCCTATTTCCTATGGGAGGTCTGATTTTTAATAACTTTTGTAAACTTTTTTTCTTTTACTTGGAAGAAGATCCCATCAATAGGACAGAGGAATGGGTGAGTTACCATACCTATCCAAATGCAAACTACTGTCATTATTTCTTATGTCTATTTCTAAATATTAACCTTTGTATCTAAGAACTTTTTAATTTTTTAGATGCATTCAATATGCTAGTTTTTACTTTCGCTTTACATCTTCTCCTTGGTTTTAGCAGAATTTGTTAAAACAAACTAGTAACAACGTCAAGTGCTAACTATGTGCCAGTCAAGATTCTATACTGTTAAGCACTTTCTGAGTGTTAATTCACTAAGCCTTTCAACAATAATGTGACAAGAGATACTACTATTAGTCTCATTTTACAATTATGAAATTGTAAATTTCACAGGCCTGAAAGCACAGAGGTTTGCTAGCTTACTGGCAGCACAGCTGAGATCTGAATCCAAACATCTGACTCCAGAGCCTATGCCCTTGAGCACTACGTTGAGCTGCCTCTCACCAGGCCACAAGGTGAACAGAGAGTTAAATGCAAATATCATGCTTTTAAAAGAGTACTTCAAATGTCATGAAATAACAGTATTTATCACTGATGAATTTTACTGTGCATCAAAATCACCTACAAAGTTTGTTAAAGACAGAGGCTCAGATCCTACCACCAAACTAGTCAATCCGTGTCTCCCAGGAAAGATCCAGGGAGTTTATTTTTTAAAAGACTCTGACAAACACACAAGTTTGAAAACAACTTATCTAAAGCCTTCAGCAGATAACAAACTTTACAGTTTTTGCAACATCTATTTTGTTATTATCTTGTTAAATAGTGCTGTAATCCACTTATGCCCTGACTCCTCATCTACAGGATGGCCTCTCTGACACTCGAAGACTTGATGCTTATTTTCCTCATTGCTTCCACAGCGCCCGCTCTAACGGCTACATACTAGCAATGATAATACAGTGAAAGGAGTAAAAAGTTACTGGGAGGGTAACCTATTAATAACTGTCTCCAGTATCTCTTAAGAGCAGGATTTTTATTTCAAGTGGATGTTCAACAAATCAGTATGGAAATATATTCTCATCAGTCTGCATATCTATCACTTATTAAAGAGTTGCATGTAAAGTTCCCTGGTCTTCAAGAGCTCATAAACCTAGTGAAGGGGACAGGAATATATTACTTTACAGATACTACTTTTAAATCCACTGGCATAAGAAACGTGCTACATAAGCAGAAGGGAAGGACACACAGATTCCAAATGGCGACCTGTGATGACCTCGTGGAGGTAGTAGGATTCAAATGCTAACTTCACACTTAGTGAAAATGAAAGCTCCTGCTTGAACCTTGACCTCCCTTTTCCTTCGTTTTTATGAAAAGTCTAGCGCATGGAAAAGCATATGGGCTTTGCAGTCACAGAGACTGAGCTTTAGTCTGAGGTCCTCCACAAGATTCTGGGCAAGTTACATAGAATTATTTGAACCTCAGCTTCTCCATAGTAAAATGGGGATAACAAGAGCAGATGCAAGCTTAAAGTTATTTATTATCCTATATTTACATGTTCATTTCCCAGTCAATATCCTAAATATATTTGAATTACTTTCTTTTCCAGATTAAATAAATACTTAATTCTCATAAATATGACCATAAGCCAGCACATTTGTATATACCATACAATAAAATGGAGGCTGTACCAAAAGCATGATTTCCATTCCCTCGACCGCTACCACTCACGTGCTGTCAACGCAGCATAAGGACGCTCGTTTTCAATCTTGCCACAGAAACAATTAACAATTATTTCTCCAAAGAAAACGACTTACTTCTTTCTTCATCCATAACTTTAAAGCAGCATGCAGTGCTTTCACTCCCTGTACTAGGTAAGTTTGAGGCTGGAAACCATCTTCTCTCAGTTCTGTGGGAATGGAAGTGGGTGGGGGAAAGGAGTTAGAGGGCTCCTAAGGTAACACGGTTAGCTTCGGCTGCTGAGACACCAACTGTCAAACTGTGTAACTGCCGAGTGCCCAGAGGGGAAAACAGTGAAATAAAAAGAAAGAAAAAGAAAAGAAATGACATTAAATGTGGTTGTACTGAAGGCCCCAAGTAAAAGGGAGCTCACCGACAGTCTGAGCAAGAGACAAGTCGTGGAACAATGTCAGTATGGACCTACTCACATGAACTCTAACAATGGAAACTATTAAACTACTTCATCATCTGTGACACAGGTGATAAAACTGAAGAAAAGGATTACCACAAAACTCAGGATAGGGGTTCTCTTTAGAAGGGAAGGAGGAGGGTGCAATGGGAAAAAATGGATGTTTCTAAGGCACTGGCAAGGCTGAGCCAGTGGTACAGGCGACCCAGGTGAGCCTGTAATTAATATTCAAACTGTTAGGACCGTGTATGTGTGTATGCCGTGTGCGGTCTATACAGTCGGCTACAAGGCGGGACATAGTTCACGAATGTAAAGGTAAACACACCACACACATACATCTTTTCTGGGTCTTTAAAATCATCTGAAACTCACACAAAATGTATCAGATGTGGTCTAACATTCAGGTAAGCCAAAGCAAAAACAAAAGGTTTCACTTCTGTCCAATGGCTGATTTACTTACATACGTCCAAAATTAGTCCACTGTTTTATTATTACTGACCCTAAATGCAGTTAAGTTTCATACTATCTCTTTCCATTTACCCAATCGTAGAAGCCTTTTAACAGTCTGAGAGCTGGCAAATACTGGGCCACGATGGAAGGTTAAAAGATCAGGGATGAATGAACATAATGTGGCATAAGACCACCATCCCTGCTTCCAGGCTGAATGCCTAGGATGACGGCAATTGGTACAATGGTGATTTCGCCCCAGCCTTAGCGGGACTGGACTGACTCACTAGTATTGCCAGGTCTCCTATCCTGTATTGATCCAGCTGATGAACTAAAATATGTTAAAACCTGGCCTACCAATATCCTTGTACAGTAATCTTCTTCAGCTGTTGATGTATAGGGTCATGTTTTCAATTAAACCTCAATATTTCTAAACTCTCAACAGCCTAGAACAAAGGCTAAATCATTGTTCTAAGATTAAGCACTTTGCTGTTTGTGGCTGCAAGAGGAACAGCCAGATTTTACCTTTCAGATAAATTCTTAATTTGTCCCAAAAAGGTGATTGATGAACCCCTCCTGGACATTAGGAAAAAGCATCACTTGGGTGGGTGTATGTTAGTGAGAAAGAAAAGACGGAAAAAGGCTCTGCACTTCCTTTTTTTTTTTTTTTTACTTTAAAGATTTTATTTATTTGACAAAGAGAGACACAACGAGAGAGGGAACACTAGCAGGGGGAGTAGGAGACAGAGAAGCAGGCTCCCTGCTGAGCAGGGAGCCCAATGTGGGGCTCGATCCCAGGAACTCTGGGATCATGATCTGAGCCCACGGCAGACGCTTAACGACTGAGCCAGCCAGGAGCCCCAGCTCTGAAATGAGTACTAACTGCCAATCTCCTATCTGGAGGGTTCGGTAACTGGGTTTTATTTCCAAAACACAAGGACATTTATAAATGTTTTTGTAAGTATTTGTAAGTGTTCCTATTTTTCTAGGCTTCTACTTGGAGAGGAGACTGAAAACTTTACTGCCCAGTACCCCACTGGAAACTACACATGGCAACTCTACGTGCGGTCCCCTGGGAGATTCCTGCAGCCAAGACACGAAGACACGCTCACTGAACACAGGTGCCTCAGCCTTGCCAATACCCAAAACACCGAGTGAGTCAGGGACTCAGGGTAAGGGTGCATTTCTGGAGAGACACTGGTCTTATGCAGAAAGCCGCCAATCCCCTTCATCCACAGGCTCCTTCCTCTACCATCTCTCTCTCTCTCTCTCTCTCTCTCTCTCTCTCTGCACCACGTCAAGACACTGATCTCTATTCATACTGCCGCAAGGTGTGGGATGGGGCTACTGTTTTTTCCAAGGACAGTGAGGTTGTTTTCTGTTTTTGCTGTTTGAGGAAAAAATCATAAATGACTTTTATCATTAATTCTGTGCATGTTACTCTGGGAAGTAAGTTACTGATTCTTCTTGTTTTACCTTTTCTTCCTGTGCAACTTTTAAATGCGGGGGCGGGGGGAATCCATATGTTTAGAACAGACTTTACTATTTAATCTGTTTCTATCTGTTCTTCTGAGAATTCATTATAATAATAGCACTATCTGCAAACTGACAAGAAAAGTCAGACAACACAAAAACCCAATGAACTCTATTCTCATAGGCACAAGGGAAAGAATGGTCAGAAGTAGATGTGACAATCACCCTCCAGCTTGACTGCTCAAAGATTATTAAACCAAAGATAAAACACCAAAATCTGAAATTCTGCAGGAAAAAAGGTAGCTAAGTTTAAATAAAAGAATGTCCTGGGCACCTGGGTGGCTCAGTCAGTTAAGCGTCTGCCCTTGGCTCAGGTCATGATCTCAGGGTCCTGGGATTGAGTCCCACATTGGGCTTCCTGCTCGGCGGGGAGCTTGCTTCTCCCTCTCCTTCTACCCCTCCTACCTGCTTGTGTTCTCTCTCCTTCTCAAATAAATAAAATCTTCTAAAAATTAAAAAAAAAAAAAAAAAAAAGGAATGTCCCCTGCCCAAAACCATTTTCTTCAACAGACTCATAGTCTGACCTTCAGCTGGTTTGCACTAACAGGTGCCTTGGACCAGCCAGCATCACAGTCCTAATAGTAATGGCTCAGGCACTCCCTGGTTCTCTCAGAACATGAAAAATCCCCTCGATTTTTAAAAGCAAATGTTTAGGAACACACATGACAGTAACAGTCCCATAGCCTAAACTGTACTTTTGTGAGGGAGGCACGTTTACATGTCTGACACTGTGCGCAGGGTACTAGAGTCCAAGGGGAAATGAACATTTTCCAGCACTTCCTGTGTCGCTCTGATGCAGCTCTTCATAGATCTGATTTTTAATGCAGCTCTTTCATAGATCTGATGGGCTAGAGACTAATGTGCTAAAAAGCTTCTTGGCGGGGGAAATCATGCATTTTAAAAAACAAAACAGGGGCAATAGCTACACCATAATAAAAAAAGGCCCCTCTTTCTATCAGTGGCTTTTCATGAATTTACAAACATCATGCATCATAATGTACAGATTATGAATTACCTTTCAAGGTTTCCAGCAAATTTTTGGCTACAAACCAACATATGGCTTCAAAGAAAGGGAATTTGAAAAGATCTGGTGTTTTTAGCCTTTTTTCCATCTCATAACACCTAAAGAAAATTTGAAGAAACTTATTAATATTAGCATTTCCAGGTTAAATGGAGGCAACCAACTTAAGGAAAATAAAACAAGCAGGCCACAATATGTAAGGCCAATCAAGTAGTGTGTATCACCTAACACCACCACACTTGAACAAGAATGAACTGTGATCTTTTCCAGCTCGGACCTTAACAAATCGGACAGTATACTGAAGATTTATACTGGTGTCTTCCCAAAGATCAGAACCCTGGGATTTGCATCGTAGTTTTAGCAAAAGGAATGTTATAAGGGTTCCACCATAACAAATAAAACAGCATGTGTAGAAAAGAGCTCCCTACGTTAGCACCACAACACCCACTCGGAGTTTTCTTTAGGCTCTGCTACACCCGGCGCTGGTCACGGTGAGGAGACAGGATCCACAGCCTGCCAGTGTCACTCTTCTGTGGGAGTCCTGGCAGCAGTCCCCATAGCCAGTAGCCATCTTTCCCCCAGGGACACTCCAGGTAGAGAAACAAGATTCACATCTGATGGGTGTGGGAGGTGCCCCCGCTTCAAGTTTCATGGCGCTATTTCTCACAATACCTCCACAGACACAGAGCTCCCAGCATTTCCCCTGGGCACGCCAGGTTACAAGAGTCACCACATTCAGGAAAGCCCAAAGACATGGCTTCTGACTGGGCATCTCTAGTTCTCCCGGTCCTGATGCAGTTAATTAATCAGAAATCATTTTACCTTAAGCCATGTAGCTTGGTAACATTCTACTCTCTTCAGACCACCAGAGGAACAGAGTTACCCAAAGGTCAATCTCAGACAGAAGGGGAAACAGCTGTTAATCCTTTACCCACAGCAAACTAAAGCAGGCGTTCTGACAGCAGTCCTGACTTAGGATGACTTTCCCCCAGCACCATGTCACACCTGAGTCCAACTGGATTTGGTTCATTCCCCTAACTATAAAAACAAGCAAACCATAGAGCCCACATTTTGTAAAATTTTGAAATTCAGGGTTACATTTAGTATCAAACTGAATAAATGACTCTTTCTGTTTTTAGGGTTGAAATGCATCAAGGAGTCATCCTGACAAAATTTTATAATACATTTGTTTTAAAGGTCCTTCATAATTCCTCAGGGCCTACCTCCATGAGAATACAATTAAAATACATTGCTGAATTAGTTTTTCTAGAACTTTAAAAATAATATCTTATTTTAGAAAAGACAAAAGATCCTTTAAATACTGATGACACAAACCTGAGCTGCATGCCAATGTTAAGGTTGTGCAGAAAGTTCCCCCCAAAAGCCATACAGTCCTGAGATGTGAGCACAGCATGAATCCACCCTGGAACAGTTAAAATGCGCATCAGTGAGTTTTCAATACTTAAACCAAACAAATGTGATATCTACCTGTGAAATGAGAAACTCAAAATATCAACATCAGTTTCCTTCCTACTCCGCCAGAGCTCGAGAAGCTGATGCTGATTATCATCTGTAGACACATTCATTCAAGTATTTATGAAGAACCAAACACATGCCAGACTCTGCTGAGTTTGAGGAAACAAATGCATTGATCCAATCAGACAAAATCATGGTACAGGACAGGTGATGGGTTTTGTGGTTGTTGCTGTTTTATTTTTTTAGCTTACAAACGTAATCCAACTTCTCGTTGAAGAGGTTACTCTGAGAGGAGTCAAATGCGCTAAGAATGAGGTGAGCACATTGCCATTACAGGGACACGGGACTGGCCGAGCCCTTCCCTTCTTCATTAGCGCCGTCCTGAGGCAAGCAGTGCCCTGAGGAACTAAGCAAGGAGCAAGAGCGGGACTCGAGGGGAGACCTGGCGCTAAGAAGAAAAAGGTAGATCACCCACAGTTCACCGTGGAGGGTTATGGGTCCTAAGGTACAAACGGTGGCAATTAAAATGATGTCTTATTTTCCCATAAATATGTCTTCAAAGTGAGAATTATTTCTAAGAGGTGATGCCTAACTTTTGAAAAAAAAAAAATCCATAGGCTGAACATAAAGCCTTCATGTAAATGTATATATAAATACACACATATGTTTGCGTGTAAAAATTAATTATTAAAACAGACCCCATTTTCTTTGTATTTTTCACTTTTTGATCCCTCATTGTGCTGCGGCACACATGAAAAAAATTCCTTTAAAGACTGACTTTCAAGGGGTGCCATTTGTATGTTTAAAGGCACAAAGCCTTCAGCTTCACCCTGAAATCACAAATGAAAAATTTTTGTCGGCTACAAATCCTATAGATCAGTGGTTCTCTACAGCACGGAGGCAGCGCTGCCCATATAGGATGTTTTGAAAAGTCTGAAGACTTGCTTTGATTGTTCATGATGAAGAGGCATCAGTGGCATTGCCTGAGCGAGAGCCAGGGACGCAACATGCAGGCCACTCCGCACAGTAAGAAAGTCATGCATTACTCAGGGCTCTCTGCTGGGCATTCACACAGGCACAAAATCTGTCACTAATGGTCTAAGTCTAGAAACTGTAAGTCCATCATATATGTAAGCAAAGTATTTTTTGCACAGTTTTGGCCCAATTTTCTGAAAAAGCAACAGTCCCTATGGCAGTGGTTTTCTAGATGGGGTCTCCAGCCCGGCAGCATCAGCCAGCAACTGGGAACCTTTAGAAATGCAATTCCCAGCACCACCCCCCAAGCCTCTCAGATCTACTGAATCAGAACCGCTGGGGATAAGGCCCAGCAATCCATGTTTTAATAAGTCCTCCAAGTGATTCTAATGCTCAATGACATTTGAGAACCATTAATCTACATGAATGCTCTAGAACTTGAGTTGCCAATCATACACCTGTATGAGCAGGCACATTTTAAAATAGTATTTTATTATGAATTGCTTTTGAGTTTCTTCTTTCTGTTCTAGTTAGATCATTACATCAATTTGGGGGGAAACAACTGGTATAGGAGGTTATATCATGAATAAAATCTGAATCCAAGATTTTGAAGGGAGCATTAACAAAAGATTTGTTACAAAAGGGAGCCCTGGGAAAAGGATTTAAGAGAGGAGCTGAGCCCACGCACAATAAAAATATTGATACTTATCTAGATTTATAAATTCTGGTGGTTCTAGATATTCATTCATTCATTTATTCAATACATATTTATTATTACATATACCAGAGGCAGGCAAGAGAGCAAGACCTGTGGCAACAAATCCCCGTGAACTCTGCAGCCATTAAGGTCACCCAAATCAGAAAAACATTAATTTTCAAAACCAGCGGCTGGATGAGTCCACACCGTGCATTCAGTCAATCTCAAAGTGACATGCCTGATAACCTATACTTGAGGCAATAGCTAAGGCTGGTGTTCAGTTCCTTCCCAGGGTCCCTCAAAATATACCCACTGCCTCCAGTGTCCCAGGGCAGCAGCCCAGATTTTTAGAGCAGGCTCGGCCTTTGATAGCAATGTAGAGCCGAACAGTTAAAATTGAAAGCATGTCAACAAAATTTTAAAATTTTGTGCAAAGGACATTACAAAGAACATATAAACAAAGTGCAAAGATAAGCCCCAGAATAGGAGAGTCACTTGTAGGTCATATATCTGGATATATCTAGATCATGTATCTGGTATACGGAATATATCAAGAACACTTACAACTCAATAATAAAAAGACAAATAACCCAACTTAAAAACAGATGAAGAATCTGAATAGACATTTCTCCAAAGACAGATACACAAATAGCCAAGAAGCACAAGAAAAAAAGTTCAGCATCATTATTCATTAAGGAAACGCAAATCAAAACCACAGTAGGATACCTTCACTTCACATCTACTAGAACGGTCAAAGTGAAAAAGATAATTACAGTGTTGGTAAAGATGCGGAGAAACTGGAACATGTGTACATTGCTGGTGGGAATGTAAAGTGATGAAACCATATGGAAGAGTTTAGCAGTTCCTCAAAAAGCTAAGCATCATAAATCCTATGGCCCCACCATTTCATTACTAGGTGTATATATATAAAACCACAAAAACTTCTACAAAAATATTCAAAGCATCACTGTTCATAATAGCCAATGTCTATCAACTGATGAATGGATAAACAAAATGAGGTCTATCCATAATAGTGGAATATCATTTGGCCATAAAAAATAACGAAGGACTGACACGTGATACAACATGGAGGAGTCCAGTGCACATTAAGCCAGCTAAAAGCTAGATACAAAAGGCCACATATTCCATATGTTATACACGAAATATCCAGAATAGGCAAATCCACAGAGACAGAAAGTACATGAAGTGGTTGCCAGGGGCTCAGGGGAGAAGAATGCCTATTAACTGGTATGGGTTTGTTTTTGAGGTGACGAAATGTTCTGGAAGTGGTATGGGTGCACAACTTTGGTAATCTACCAAAAACCACTGACATGCACACTTTGAAAGGATAAATATTATGGTATATGAATTTTTTAAAAGATTATTTATTTATATTTATGTATTTATTTATATGTATCAGAGAGAGCGTGCACAAGCAGGTAAAGTGGCAGGCAGAGGCAGAGAGAGAAGCAGGCTCCCCCTGAGCAAGGAGCCTGATGCGGGACTCGATCCCAGGACTGTGGGATCATGACCTTAGCCAAAGGCAGCGGCTTAACCAACTGAGCCACCCAGGTGTCCCGGTATATGAATTTTATCTGAATAAAAATTAAAATGAAGGCAAATGACAGAAAACACAATTCCAAAACAGGTTCTAATTGCAAAAAAAGCCCTCTAAGGGACAAAGTAGTGAAAAGTCCAAGGTCAGAATTATCTCTCAGGTTATGCAAAGCTATTTTCTAACCATGTTAAAGCCAGAGCTTCCAATAAAATGCCGACTCTGTGCAACTGAGCATCAACTATGGGGGGAAGGGATGGGATGAAAGCCTTACCTGTAGGAACAAATAAAGTATGTCCCTGCTTTACCACACATTTGTAGCATTTATCCACCTTATCTCCAAAGAACACCTCACTCTGGGTCACAGATGAACTCCAAGACTCATAGAGTGCCAAGTTTTCATCTGTTGGCTTTATCAAATAGAAAATCTTCTCACCCTAGAAGGAAGTAATCACACTATTTTTGAAAAAAAAAAAAGCCACTCTTAGGATGGCCCACATGGATGCGATTTCCCAATATAATGATCTAAATCAAATTAGATAATTATCAGATTTTTTTAGGCTCAAGAGGACATCTTTCACAAATCTGATCGGTAATTACTGCCCTTAATAAGCATCTTCACAAAAGCTAAAGCCCCCCCTCCAAAATAAGACCCGGGGTCAATAAAGCAGGGTTGGAGAAACAGTTACAAGAGAGGAGAGGAAACAATCATAAACACCTTACTGATCTCATTTTTAAGGTATGGAAGTAAACACATGTTAATAGGCCCAGGTCACAGAGTCATCTCTGCAACTCTGCCCTTGCCCCTAAGATCTATGATTATTTTTTTCAAAGACCGGTAAATAAACATCAACTAGCCCCAACGGAGAAGAGAAACAGGAGCTCAAGGACACAGCGTCAAGTACAGTCCAGAGCGCTGCAGAAGCATGGGCGCTGTACACAGATCTGGTTCTAGATCAGCACTGTCCCACACAACTTGGTGTGATGATGGAGTGTCTTCTATCTGCACCACACACTAGTCGTAAGCCACAGGTGGCTACCGAGCACTTGAAATGTCACTAGTGTAGAGAAGGAACTGAATTTTAAATTATATTTAATTATAATTATCTAAATGTAGCTACATGTGGCCAGTGGCTACTGCATAGTCCAATTCTAGATAAAGCAAGGTGAATATAAACTGCCAAGAATTAGGTTTTTTTTTTCATGGGCATTTCTGACTCATTCAACTAGCTGTCCTGGCCTACCCTTAAAATCAGAAGCAAGTATTACTGTAATTATGCTGTAATCAGGTATCTGATTCCGGGATTAACTGATAGCTGACTAGGGTGAAAAGGAAACAGAGATGAAAGGCTGCAAGTGACCAGTTTTTGAGACAGGAACAAAAAAAAGGAATGTAAATATAAAATAAAAGCATAGTGGCCCCTCCATTACTTGAGATTAAAAAAAAGAAAAACCATAATGCTTAAAGGTAAAACGCTGGAGCCTACTTAAAAAGTACAAACACTTCCCTCGTAATAAATGTCATTTACAGCCAATGAATGCATTCCTGGAAAAACAGGACTAAATGTTTCTGTCAGTAAGAGGAGAAAGAAATGCCCCAGTCTTACCCAGAGGACATGGTACCAGACTGAAGTTCCACCAAAGTCAATGTGGAAATCCGTGTAGCTGTCTTGAACTCCCATCAAGCAGTACTTCTGAACAAACGGCTTGGGAAAAACTGAATCATCTGGCCAGTAATTTTCCACCCAGGAAAGTTTTCTGGCTATATCAGGGACCTCCACCAATTCAGACATCCTTTAAAAAAAACAAACACACATATACACACATCCCCACATCATGCAAATTTAAAGTTCTTAAAGTTTCATTTCCCATCTCAACCCAAACCAAGAAGTTAAATGGAACTCTAGGTTAATAATACGGAAAAGATTAAAATTCATATTTCTAAATATTCTCTGTGCGTGTCAAAGCAAAATGTACATTGCTATGACTGGACCTCTTCAGAAGTCATAATTAGATTTTGTACTAAAATAAATGTATCATTAACTACATTTAGCTAACACTGAGAAGACTAAACCAAAATGTCCAGAACTACTCACTTTGTATCTGAAAATTCAAGGCTGATCACATTTAACACTTTTGGTCTGTTAGGATTCATGAAGTATTTAACATAATTGTGAAGGGTCATTTTGCTGTCTGCCTGCCTTGCCACATCAATGACATCTATCACTTTGTCACCACCTGCAGAGAAAAATTATAGTCTTGTTATTGGGCTTAAGAGTTACAGCAATAGATGCCCTAAACAAAAATATTTTAAAGACTGTATTTACTTAAAGCCAACCATAAAACTACATAGCCTAGACAAAGATTCTGCCAGTATCCTTACTTTTTAAGTCCAACTGGTACTTCTGAAAAAGGGGGCTGCTTTTGAGGGAAAGAATAAAGCAATAAAGACAGAGTTACTAATTTAACAATGAGCGTGAAAACTTAAATGCTTACAAAGTTTTCTACATACTACTGATTTCTGTGTGCAGCTCACACTGACAAAAATGCATTATACTAGTTATGTGGGAACTGGGCCACTTGCTCTGCATTTTCAATGTCCCCATGCATAAGACGAGGGGACTGCCTTCGTCCTTCCACTCTTCTAACACCTAAGATTCCATCATTTAGAAAAACCAGTCAGTCGCTGTGGAATTAGTGAACAATGTAACTATGATAATTTCTGCTTGCCAGGTAGTGTCTTCTCTTCCAACATTCTGCTTCAAGAAAAAAATCGGTGGTTAGGAAGCAAAAATCAGTTCATATTAATGCATGTGAAATGAGTTCTCAATTGGGATTAATTTAGATTTTTCCTATAAAACCATGAGGTGTCTCTTGCCCATCACTGTAGAGTCACCCTAGAAAGCAAACCCAGTTTTGTAATGTCCTACAGGACAGACGGTAAATTCAAAATATGGCAATACTTAATCAATCTAAAAGAGAAATCAAATAAATGACATTTTCTCACTTTAGTGTAACTTTATATTAACGCGCTGCCTAGTAAACTTTATTTTATACCTAAGAGGCAAAACAGTTCTGTTAACCAAAGCATTTTACAAGGCTAAAAAGTAAACTATCTAGGAGTTTGAATATTTTTCCTATACTTACATTACACTAGCCACTTATTTTACAGTGCTATTTATGCAAACAGGCCAGGTTAAACCTCAGCCTCACCTCCTAGTTTATCAAATAATTCAGAATTAGTGAATGCGAAGTCATGACATTAAACTGCGTTTCTTCAGTGAAGCATTTATCAATGAAAACTGTCACTCAGTGGCTCAATAAAGGGACAAGTTCTCCAGCATTTTCTACTCGGGAGATAATGCATCACAGTAAATGTACAGTTCAGAGTCAAGGTCGACTTGAGATCTAATCCTCAAAAACATCTCTATCCACAACTGATAAGGAATGAGATCTATATACAGTCAGATTCTGATACCGAGATGAGAATAAACAAAATGACTGACAATGTTGAGAAGAATGCAACGGAGAAATGGTTTCCTCCTTGTTTCTTATGCCTCTCTGGCCCTCAAAATCACACACCGAGTCCAGACACGGGGCAGTGGCAATACCATCATGTCACAAATATAGAAACGGGCTTGAACGTGGTCTCCTCTTTTTCCCAGCCCTTCTCTAGGCCCTGGAGGTCAATGACACAGGATCCAGGGATTCTGCTCTTGCATGCTACAGAGTCCTAGAACCAGTCCAATTTCCCAGTGTCTTCCTCCTGTTAGCTGTAGTTACACCTCACAACTGTTCCTCCTAAGCAGGTACCAGACAATCTGATGACAACAGAAAGAGCGGCAGAATGAGGCTGAGTACATAAGAACAGAGCAACTGTCTCATTCTCTTTCTCTGACAACTGGAGGTTTGCTCAGAAGAAAGTTTTCGACCTAGGTGATACTGAATTTCACTTTTCCTACTAAATTACCATCTCTTCACTCAACTTCTAATGTACTCAGAACACTACTACTACTTTTACCACATTTCCCCCAAGTACTTCAAAGAACCAAGTGCGTACCTACATAGCGTTCCACATCCATGACAGAAAAAGTAGGTGGAGGGAGCCTGAGTCCTAGGTCATCTAATTTGGGGACCATAATAGGAACTTCAAATCCGTGTTTCTCCAGGTATCTTTGTGTCAGCTGGCTGCCATGCATCTTTACAATGATTTCATCGGCACTAAGGAAAACATAAGGGTAAACAGTCATCTTTGTTGGTAAGTTCATTTTAAAAAAATAGTCTGGTAATGAGTTAACTCATATACTGCATCACTGTCTATATCAGCAGTTATCAACTGATCAAACCCAATTCTCCTTTTTAGAACAAATGTTTTATCAAGTCCTTTTTACTATTCTAAAGTAAAAGTCATAGATAATTACCTCAATACGTATCTTTGGAAAAATATGAATACCTAAAATTAGTTTATAGCAAAATACATATTCGATACGTAAATGTTTCAGTAAACTACACAAGGAGAGATAATATAATAATAGGATGATTACAACTTGTTGTAATGAGTGACTGAATTTAAGAGAAGTAACTAGATCAGAAGCCACTAAAAACAAGCTGTGTAGGAAATCAGCAGAGCGAAAGGTAAGGGGGCACATTAGGAAAAAAGGTGGTGTCAAGATAAGTAAAACAGATAAGATTCTATCCAGCTGTAAAATTCTACACAAGTATTTGTTAGACATTTCAAAGCCTCATGGACATAGAACAATTCACTGTTGTCCTGCACCATGGAGAACGACTAGCTCCCATGGTTCCCGTCCACCAAGATAAAGGTCGAAAAGGAACTCCTGACCTATCTGTTACAACCAGGATGTCATAAGTTACAGTAAGTGGTCACCTCAAGCCACTAAAAAGCATGCTGAACCCCAGCTGCCCTCTCTCATGAATAACACGTCATGAGCATCACACTTAAGAGTGGTTTGTCCCTTTCCAGTGTTCTCTAACCATAAATCAAAGATCTCTTTAAATGAGGATGTTCTAGACTTAATCTTCCAATTGCCCCCAGAATGCAGCTGTTAATACATTCAAATAAGTACAGCAGCTGCTTTACAGGCTAAAACACAGTCGTTTCCATTTACCTTACCTGTACTCACGTCACCTGCAGCCTGGGAATCAAGGAAAAGACAAGAAGTACGGGTTCTCTGAATTACTGGGTTCTAACCTGTCCACCCTCTCAGTAAGAAAAGGGCAGTCTGAAGCTCCCTAAAATGAGACAGACTTTTTCTGGATAGACTTATATTTGAAGGACTTAGATCTCCTTCATCTGACTCACTGCATTCTGTGCTGCCTTTTAGTACCCCCCACAAGCATCTAACATTTCCCTCCTTCCCCAACCTCTGAGAATCAAACAATTCCTTCCACTCCAATCTGAGGGATAATTTCGTCACTTGTACTTTCTGATCTTCAGTGTTTGGTGTTTTACTTCCCCTGTCGATCAAAAACATATAAGTACAAGTGCTTAAAAATACATGCACACCGTTATTTTCAAGGGAAAAAAACTGGAGACAACCGAAACATACATCAGGGAGGGATGGTTAAGTGGATTACGGTACGTATACCTAACTGCGTACTACACCGCAGTCAAGGAGGGAGGTAAAGTTTTGTAAATGGGGGAAAAACACTGATGAAATAGGTATATCATACGCATAATATAACCCCATTTTATTTTTTAAAAATTAGATGCATGTATATATACACACATATATAGACATAAATATTTTACATATAATTATTTATGTAGAAAATGTCTCTAAGGTCCACACTAAGTTTTAAAATGGGGGAGAGGGAGGTAAGATAACCCATGCACTTTATTTTATACACTTCTGGGTTAATCACATCAAGTATGTGTAATTTAATTAATTACCATCTCTACACATGGTTTTGAATGATGTGAAGGTTTATGGAGTTAAAATAAAACCAAAAATCTTTAATTAATGGTAATCATCATTTAGACATTTGTAACCATCTCTGTAACTGGCTCTTACTTGTTACCACTTTGGCACAGAAGCCACAGGCATCACTAGGTCAGGATTTTTAACACTGTTCTTTTGGGTCACAAGCTTATTTGAAAAGAGTAAAAGCTTTGGCTCCTCTTCCTGAAAAATGCACATTCATATATTGACACTAAACTATTTACACAGCTTCAAGAAACTCACAAGCCCCTCGGAAGCCTGTTCATAGACCCAGGCTGAAAACTCTGGCCCTAGCTCCAAACCAATCAAGGAAAACAAACATTCGTCCAACCACTTTGAAACTGGTAAGAGAGAGTATTTGAGACGAAGGCCTTCACTGTCACAAAAGTCATGTGGAAACCACTGTGGAGAGCTCAGCAGACCTGAGGGAGCCAACACTGGGTGAGTATCAATTACACGTTCCTGTTTAAGGATTAGAAGAGGGAGAGGGATAGACAAGAATGTTAAAGACTGTGAAGAAATAGCACGGGTTTCACAGTTACAGGACCTGAAATAATTCTGTAACAGGTTGCACGTGATGTTGAGATTTAAATTTAAATTGTGCTTTCCCTCCTTAACAAGCCTGGATATGATCTCATGTAAAAGGCTATTAAGCATGATCACTTTAAATAGATGTCAGGCAGCGAGCGGGAAATGATCTAAATTAGCATGATTAAATGCTGTGCAATACTTTTGACGCTCTCTGAGCCACAGATAAGTCAAACACTTTCCATTATCTTTTAAAAATCAAAAAGCCCAGTCCTGCTGCCACCAGAGAGGCTGAGCAATGGTTATGGGTACCCATGACAGACCTAGGGTAGAGAGATAAGAAAACAACACAAGAAAAACACAGAGTTTGACAATCAGAACAGGTGAGGTAGAAGGGGAGGAGAAGCAGCAACTTCCCATCATGAGGAATCTGGTACCGGGAACAAGTGCCTTAGATCAGTGCATTTCAAATTTTCTGGACAGAGATCAGCAGTTCATGTATTCGTACAAGGTGCCCCAGTACACATAGGTAACATGATGGTTCCATGAAACCTTGCTAGTTTACTCATTACTTATATAAATGCGCCAATATCTTCTATTTCATAAAAAAAAAAAAAAAAGTAAAACGCTGAGAATGGGCTGCAACCTGAAGTCTGAAAACATTGCTTTAGATAATGCCACTGCGTGAGGTAACAGTCTCAAGTTTTCTTTGGCAAGAACAAGTTTCCATACCTTGGGAAGACTCGAGAACGTAACTCCTTCACAAAAGTCCTAGTCCCAGCCTGCACTGGTTTGCTGCCATCATCAATTTCTGTGTAGTCGTGCCTGTGCCAATTCCTCCGCTTTTTCACTGCGTTTTTAGAAGTTTTAAAAAAGAAAACAGTTGTGATAACTAGTGACACCAGGTACTTTCTAAAAGGTATATTCTATATGATAAGAAATAGCAATTATAAGTACAATAAAAAACACTCCCTTTTGAATGCATTTCCAAGCTGAAGAGTGTAAATTTTACTTTGTGTAATGCCACAATTATAGGTAATGCCACAATTATAGGTAAAATGTGGATTTTAAAAAGTCTATGCTAAATCTATGTTAACTAACTAGAATTTAAATAAAATTTTGAAGAGAGCACAAAAATTTTTTTTAAAAGTCTACTCTTTATTTAAAAAAAATTCAAATCGACAAATGCAAATTAGCAGATGGAGCCCATTTTAATATCCACACTGACACATACAATAAAATAACACAATTACTTTAAATCATGACTTTCACAAGGCCATGAAGTGATAGTATGATTTTTATTGATCATCCAAGTCATGGATCCCACATCAGAAATCTCTTTTAACAGCAACAGTTCCCTTCTCTTTTATGTCAAGATCTGGTCCCAAAATAAGCACGCTTCGCCGCCACAGAAGAAGAACAGGTGGCTGCAGCATAGTTAAAGGAAGAGGAATGACAGAACAAGTAACTTTACGATTAGTCCTAATGCTCAGACCCTGTGATTCTACAGCTCTGGGCAACTACGGTCTTGAAGAGTCCCGGCAATCAAAATCAGGAGACTTGGACTGGACTCCCAGTTCAGCCATAACTTATTCTTTAACTGTGGGCAAGGCATGTGACAAGACTGGGTCCACTTTCCTCAAATGGAATGAAGGGAGGATGGAATGAAGGGAGGAGTGCTATGTTTCTCTCTCTCCTTTTTTTTTTTTCTTGGAGTGCTGTATTTCAAACCATGTTGATGAATCCCTTAGTAAAGGGGAAGATGGGGAAGAGGCCAAGACAGAAACTGTGGACCTCATTCTGCTTTCGACCAGGGCAACACCACTTACAGCCCTTTTGTGTGCTAGCAACGTAAGATGTCTAAGTTTTATATCCTTTTTTAAGTTTGAAAATCACTCTTACAGGGGACCCTGGTAGCTCAATTGGTTAAGTCACTGTCTTCAGCTCAGGTCATGATCCCAGGGTCCTGGGATCAAGTTCTGGTCGGTCTCCTTGCTTAGCAGGAAGCCTGCCTCTCCCTCTGCCACTCCCCCTGCTTGTGCGCTCTCCTCTCTCCCTCTTTCCCTCTCTGACAAATAAATAAAATCCTTAAAAAGAAAAAAGAAGGGCGCCTGGGTGGCTCAGTGGGTTGGGCCGCTGCCTTCGGCTCGGGTCGTGATCTCAGGGTCCTGGGATCGAGTCCCGCGTCGGGCTCTCTGCTCGGCGGGGAGCCTGCTTCCCTCTCTCTCTCTCTCTCTCTCTCTCTCCCTCCCTCTCTCTCTATTTGTGTTCTCTCTCTGTAAAAAAAAAAAAAAAAATTTTAAAAAAAAAAAAAAAAGATAAAAGAAAATCACTCTTAAGCCTAAAACCTTCATGACTCTAGGAAATGTACTAAAGTCTACAACTAGCTTAGAATGTATCAAAAAAAAAAATAGATACGAGACTGTGTAGCGAAGCAAGTAGTATAAAATATTAATAGTAGAGCCTACATGGTGAGTTTGGAACTACTCCCGACAAAATTCTTTCAACCTCTCCCGTATGTTTCAATGTTTTCCTAATAAAACATGGAACCAGGGGAACTCTATGAGTCTAAGTTATTCCAAACCTTCACCCTAAAAGATCATAATAAATTAATACTGGATCCTCATCTGGATAAGCAGAAGTCACACTAAATAACCAATAAGGGAGGAAATTGGGATTATTCATTTCTGAGGATTTAAAACAAGATTCTCAGTAATTCATGGCAGTCAAACCCTCAATATAGAAAACAGTAAATCCCATTTTTTAAAAGTCTTATGAGAAAAATAGTATCATAAAGCAACATTCCTAGAAAATGCCATTAAGGCATCCTTCGTGTGTTATTTTTTCTCATTTAAAATCACTTGTAAAATTCAAGGGTGTTTCATTCCAGGCTTCTGTTCTACATATATATATAGATACATAACCCCATTTTATTTTCAACTGGGATCATGATGTTCATTCTGCTTACCTTTCTTATTCTATCATGAGCATTTTTCTCCTTATTAAATATTCAAAAGCAATTTAAAAGCAGCCTAGAATTTTAAGACATAGATATAGATGTATCACTTTATAATCCTTTTTTGACTCTTAAGCACTTAGCTCATTCTGAATCTTTCTTCAAACAAAACTGAGATTAATACTCATATACATAAATCTGTTTCCCTCATTAATTCCTCAGGAGAAATTCCTAGAAATGCCAGAAGACTCAATATTTTTAAGACATTTGCTACATACTGCAAAACTGACTCCAAAAAAGTGATAGGTAACTCACATTCTTACCGGTATACAAAAGCAGCCTATTTCGAAGCCCTGGGTCAACAGTGAGCATCACCATTTAAAAAAAAAAAAAGAGGGGTGTCTGGGTGGCTTAGTTGGTTGAGCATCTGATTCTTTATTTCAGCTCAAGTCATGATCCAGGGGTCTTGAGATCGAGCCCTGCATCAGGCTCCCCACTCAGCAGGGAGGTCTGGTTGTCTCCCTCTCCCTCAGCCCCTTCCCTCACTTGCACATGCTTGCTCTCTCTCTCAAATACATACATACATCATTAAAAAATAAAAATTAATTTAAATTTGAACTTAAATTTTAAAAAAGACAAAGTTGGGATGCCTGGGTGGCTCAGTTGGTTAAGCAGCTGCCTTCGGCTCAGGTCATGATCCCAGTGTCCTGGGATCGAGTCCCACATCGGGCTCTTTGCTCATCAGGGAGCCTGCTTCTCCCTCTGCCTCTGCCTGCCATTCTGTCTGCCTGTGCTTGCTCTCTCTCCCTCTCTCTCTCTCTGACAAATAAATAAATAAAATCTTTAAAAAAATAAAATAAAATAAAATAAAAATAAAAAAATAAAAAAGACAAAGTTATCCATTTGATAGGTAAACTACAGTATTTTAAAAAAATATTTTATTTATTTATTCGACAGAGAGAGAGATCACAAGTAGGCAGAGAGGCAGGCAGAGAGAGAAAGGGGGAAGCAGGCTCCCCGGTGAGCAGAGAGCCCGATGTGGGGCTCGATCCCAGGAACCTGGGATCATGACCTGAGCCGAAGGCAGAGGCTTTAACCCACTGAGCCACCCAGGCGCCCCATGAGAATACAATTTCTGTCTGAATTGCTGAATAACATTTGACAAATCAAGAAGATAAATTGAAAAAAATAGTGTCATTCTTTTTTTCCCTTTAAAGATTTATTTATTTTAGAGAGAAAAAATGAGTGTGTGTGAATGGGGGGCAGGACAGAAGGAGAGGGAGAGGGAGAGAATCTCAAGCAGACTCCCTGCTGAGCATGGAGCCTGACATGGGGCTTGATCCCACGACCCCAAGATCACCCTGAGCCAAAATCAGGAGTTAGACGTTTAACTGCTTAACAGGCAAAGCCACCCAGGTGCCCCCAAAACACCGTCGTTCTTAATTGCAAGGGCAAAACCCCCAAACTTAAGGGCATGTATTCAACGCTTTCAATTTGAGAAGTGTGGAAAAGTAAAGTTTGCTGATTCTGGAAACTGATTTCAAATGTTTTTATCTCTTTATAAATTGAAAAAAAACTTTCAGTAGTAATTGGGACAGTGTACAGGATAAGGCTTTAATGCACACACATGCATTTTATTTTTGGGGAGATTTGGGTATCAAAATGCTGAAATGTTATTCTGTTTTCTGATATTGGTCTTCAGTTTGAGTGTGGCCTAGAGTCCTGCCCAACTTGAGACAACACCCCTGACCCAGTCCCATTCTGAGGAAGGCAGAGGCCTGAGCAAGTGTCTGCCTACACTTTCCTGCCTGAGTTAAATATCGTTTTATGTGTGATATTGGTACACCCCAGAGAGCACATGAACTTCCTGGCCTGTGCTCTTGATTTCAGCTCAGAGGTGATCTTGGGGTCGTGGGACCAAGTCCCATGTCCGGCTCCATGTGTGGGGGGTCTGCCTGAGATTCTCTCCCTCTCCCTCTCCTCCTGTCCCTGCCCCCACTCACACACACTTGCTTTTTCTCGCACTCTCTCTCTAAAATAAATAAATCTTTAAAGGGAAAAAAAAGATGACAGTATTTTTTTCCATTTTATCTGTTAGAATTAATAATTTACCTAATATCTTTGTAAGAGATTTAGAAATTCAGGCTGTAAGAATACATCAAAATATTACATTAAATTTCATAAAATATTAAAATACACGTTATCCATTTTATTACACAGTATAAAATTTGAGGTTAGCAAATTGGTAGAATTTTTTGTGTAATTGGCCAGTTTATTGTCATAAATGTTTTTAAAGCTTCTTATTTTGTGCAGCAGTGAAGTATGTGGTATATAACTTGGAATGATTATTGACCAAGCATAATTCTTGGAGGAAATAAATAGTACTGGGTTGTTACCTCAAGAAAGGAAACAGAACTAAAATTTATAACACTTTTAGTTTAGAATTTATATAATTTCCAAATGAAATAATTTGAATTTAATTTCAATGAAATATTAAGTGGGTTACAATGAGATGGAACAGTGTTGTGTTTAAAACACTATGATACGTGATGCATTCTGTTTTCTGTTTTACCTATATGATTTAATTTATTTAAAAAGCTTGTCATGTTCACTAAACTGATTTCATAATCCATAATGGATCATGACCTGCACTTTGCATAATGACGCTTCAGAGAGAAGCTGGACTGTTGCGTGGCCCTTCATATACTTCTCATGCTTGAATCACATAAGATCAGGAATTGGTTATCTTCTGGGCAAAAGTCCAGCACTAAATACCCACAGGGAAAATGTCCAAGATTCAGTAATTTGTTCTATCTTAATTTAAGGCTCACCTTCCCTCCCTCTCACCCTACACCCTTAACTTGGGTCATTCCTTTTGGCCCCTTTCCCTCTGCTGTTAAGCCTCTCTCGTTTGCCACCTAGGGCTTCCTGTTCTCTCAGAGTTCCCCAGGAATCCTTATTGTAGATACTGTTCAGAGAGTGTAATAGTCACTTGGTATGGTGAATTTAGATTTGACCCTTTTAATGGGAGTTAAGAATTTGATTTAAGGTCAAGTATCAAAAAAGCCCATATCTCAGTGTTTCTCAGGCACATGGAGTCTAAACTCAAAATTTTCTCTCCCTGTGATGGCTACCAGAATATTCCTTCCTTTAAGAAATTCAGTCAGCTTCCTGCAGTGGCTGATTTTATGTGTTAAGCACGTTGGCCTAACAGGACAGTTGTAGCATCTCTGTCAACATTGTGCAGATCTGCTCATTTAAAAGGAAAGACAAGGGACACCTGGGTGGCTCAGTTGGTTAAGCAGCTGCCTTCGGCTCAGGTCATGATCCCAGCGTCCTGGGATCGAGTCCCACATCGGGCTCCTTGCTCGGCAGGGAGCCTGCTTCTCCCTCTACCTCTGCCTATCACTCTGTCTGCCTGTGCTCGGGTGCTCTCTAACAAATAAATAAATAAAATCTTTAAAAAAAAAAAAAAAAGGAAAGACAAGTAATTGGCAGCTTATTGGATGCCGTAGGAACTCTGCTAAGAAGTACTTGACTTATGTTATTTCCTTCGATATTTGTGACCTGTTGAGGTGAGAAAAATGATTGAACCAGCTCTTTCATGTAGTTATTTGGCAGAGTTGGAGTTTGAGCTGATAGCTGTCCAATCCCAGATCTATTCTAATTCTAATCTGTTCTGCCAAAATGAAATTTAAAACACTATAATACTGTAGTTTACCGGGGCGCCTGGGTGGCTCAGTGGGTTAAAGCCTCTGCCTTCAGCTCAGGCCTGCCTCTCTGCCTACTTGTGATCTCTCTCTCTGTCAAATAAATAAATAAAAATATATTTTTTAATTTGTTAAAAAAAAAAAAGAAATTGTATTCTCAGTATCTTCAAAAAAATATTCCCTATAGTTCTTGGTGGGTGTAACATAACTAGTCAAAGTATTATTAAAATATTGTCATGTACACATTAAATTCTAAACTTCAGTTTTTATTTAAGTTTCTAGTACTTACTCAAGGAGGAGCCATGTAGAACGGCACAGTTGGGACAGTGATAAAGGTCAATGTCAACAGCATGATGTTCTTCTACACCAACACAGCTAGATAAAGAAAAATAGAGTCAATATGTAAATAAGCTGAAAATCTTTACTTAACTACAGCAGATGGTTAGAATTTAGCTGGGAAGTGTACAACAACCTCACCAACAAATTCTGTAGATTACAGAAACATATGCAAAGATAAATTTTATTCTCCTCCCTATATACTTGCTAAATAATTATGGGGAAGAATATGCCCAAATACATGGAAAGTGATTCACTATTATCAACAATAGAGACATCAGAAGTAATTAGAAGCCATAAGACCCTCAACCATTATGTAAATGCCACCTAGTGTGGACTCATTGTTTGTATTCCCCCAAATTCACATGTTGAAGCTGTAACCCCATCAGTGTATTTGGAGATAGGGCCCTATGGGAGTAATTATGACTGAATGAGGTCATAAACGTGGGGCCTTGATAAAACAGGATTAGTGTTCTCAGAAGAGACACCAGGGGTACCTGGGTGGTACGGTCAGGTAAGCATCCAACTCTTGGTTTTGGCTCAGGTCATGATCTCAGGGTGGTGATCTTGGGGTCATGAGATCAAGCCCTGAGAAGAGTCCCACATCAAGCCTCCAGGGGAGCCCCACATTAGGCTCCATGCTCAGCATGGAGTCTGCTTGAGATTCTCTCTGCCCTCTCACTCATGCTGTCCCTCAAACAGATAATAAATTCTAAAATAAAGAAAAGAAGAAGAGGAGACACCAGAGAGCTCTCATGATCTCTCTCTTTTCTCTCCCTTCCTTCCCACCCCATCCCCCATCCTAGCATTCTATTAACGTAGCATTCAGTATTCAGTTAAAATATGTTTCAAGAAGGAGAGGGGAGAAGTATTCGTAGTCAACCAAAAACTGAGAGTTCACCTCCAGCTAACCCACAGTAAAGGAAATGCAAAAGATATATTGCTGGCCAAAGGAAGATGATCACAGAGAGGTCTGATGCAAGAAAAAAATAAAAAGCTTTAAAAGGTAATAATAAATATATGGGTAAGTTTACATGGATATTCCCTATATAAAACAATGTCATGTGAGATTTAAAAATATACAATGAACTAAAACACATAACAACAGCAGCACCTGAGTTAGAAGAGAACAAATGGAGTTACGGGTTTCTACCGGAAAGGTAATGATTAACACTGGACTTCAGTAGTGAGAATGCCTCCTAGACTCTCTCAGGAGACAACTGAAAAAAGGGAAATAGAAAGTGTAATTTCCATACTACTAACAGCGTGGGGACAAAGAATTTATTTTAAAAATCAATTCAAAAAAAGGAGGGGAGAAAAAAAGAGAAAAAAAATGGAGAGACTAAAATAAAATGGAAGTATAAATTCAAATATGTAAGTACCGTAATTATATCACATGCGAACTGATTGACCTGCTCTAGTTAAAAGACAAAGATTACCCGGCTGGACTTAAACACTACAGTTCACTGGTTATAGGAGACACACATAAAACAAGGAACCGGAAAGACTGTAAATAACAGGATGGGTAATTTTTTAAAAAATAGCATTGAAAAGTAGTAATTATATAGTAATTTTTTTTTTAAAAGTATAGGTATGTTAAGATTAAGCAACAGAAAATCTAAAGTAAAAAATATGAGATAGACATATACAGTTTAAAGATTTCATTTCCCAGTAGGATGTAACAGGAAGGACCGTAATGGGACATTTTGACAACTCTCTCAGTATCTGACAAAATAAAGCAGGTAAAACAAAAATCTATGAAATATATAAGATTTGAACTTCAGGATTAAAAAGCATGGCCTAGGACCACATGGGTGGCTGTTTGTTGAGCGTCTGAATCCTGATTTCAGTTCAGGTCACGATCTTATGGGTCATGGCACTGGGCCCACCATGTTGGGCTCCAGACCTCAGCACAGAGCTCCAAGCACACTCAGGGAAGAGCCTGCTTGAAGATGTTCTCCCTCTGCCCCTCCCCTAACTCACATGCGCTCTCTCTCCCACTCTCTCTCACAAAAATAAACCTTAAAAAAATAATAATAATAATAATAAAAAATATGGGATGCCTGGGTGGCTCAGTGGTTTAAGCCTCTGCCTTCAGCTCAGGTCATGATCCCAGGGTCCTTGGATCGAGCCCCACATGGGGCTCTCTGCTCAGCGGGGAGCCTGCTTCCTCCTCTCTCTCTGCCTGCCTCTCTGCCTACTTGTGATCTCTGTCTGTGAAATAAATAAATAAAATCTTAAATAAATAAATAATAAAATAAATAACAATAAAAAACATGACCTAATGGATATTTATGGAATAATACACCCGACATCTACAGAACACACATTCTTTCCAGCGTACATCAACCATTCATAACAAGCCACAGCACACTGAGCCACAGTCAAATACTGAAGGTCTGAAATCTGGAACACTCTAGCCACAGTTCAATTAGGACAGAAATTAATGACAAAAAAGTTAAATGTAATTTTCATGTATTTAAAATTAAGAAACAAACTGCTAAATAACCCATGAGTCAACAGATAAATCGTAATGAAACACGGAAAATTATCTAGGAATGAACACTAATAAAAACGCTGCATAGGGGCACCTGGGTGGCTCAGTGGGTTAAGCCGCTGCCTTCGGCTCGGGTCGTGGTCTCAGGGTCCTGGGATCGAGTCCCGCATCGGGCTCTCTGCTCAGCAGGGAGCCTGCTTCCCCCTCTCTCTCTCTCTGCCTGCCTCTCTGCCTACTTGTGATCTGTCTCTGTCAAATAAATAAATAAAATCTTAAAAACAAACAAACAAAAAAAAACCACTGCATAACAAAACTTGTGGATGCAGAACTTACAAACAGAAATGCACAGCTTTAAACACACGTATTGGGGGAAAAAGCTGAAATCAATAAGCTAATAAGCAGCTACCTGAAGAAGTGAAAAAGAATAGCAAAATAAACCTTAAAAACACAGAAGGAATAAAAAAGCAGAACTGATGACACAGAAAATGAACCACGCAACAGAGCACCAAAGCCAAAAATTGTTTGAAAACAAAGTTGGCAAACCTCTCTGGCAAACTGAAGAGATAAGACAGGAATAACCAATACTGAGAACGAAAAGAGGTACAGAACTATAGATTCTATAGACATTAAAGGTAAAAGAGTATTATGAACAATCCTATGCTAAGTGACTAGAAAATATAGATAAAATAGGCAAACCTGAATCACAAAGAACTAGAGTATCTGAATACTCCTGTGATTGTTACTTTGTAATTTTTAAAATTGTCCGCCCAACACACACAAATATCCCAGTTCCAAATATACCCAAGAAGTAATTCCAATACTACATAAAACTCGCACAGAGAATAGGAAAAAAAAGACTTACTCCCCAACTCATTTTAGGGTAGCACAGCCTGATACTAAAACTTACAAAGAATTATATAAGAAAGGAAAATTAAAAGCCACTCTCATTTATGAGCAAAAATGCAAATGCCAAGTTTGGTCTATCTCAGGAATCCAAGGTGGTTTTAACTCTAAAAATTTTAATCAGTGAAATTTGCTATATTGACAGATTAAAAGAAAAAGTCTTGTGACCACTTAAAAAGATACAGGACAAGTACTTGACAAAATTCAACATTTACTTATGATTAAAAGGCGAACAAAACCTCTTAGAAAAATAAGACTAGGAAGCCTGCTGATTCACAGACTTGTGCTCCTGAGGCAAATAATAAATTAGATGTTAATAAAAAATAAAAAATAAATTTAAAAAAATAAAAGACTAGGGCACTTCTATAACCCATAAAGGGTGCTTCCAAAAAATCCTGCAAATGACATGAAATTGGTCTCTCTGAGATTAAGAACAAAAGAAGAATGTCTGACGTTACCAGTTCTATTGAACATTAGCTGGTGTAGTAAAATAAGAAAAAGAATTAAAAGGTATAGGAACTAGAAAAGAAAAAAAAAGCGGTCATTTGCAACTATTACGCCTACATCTGCAGAAAACTCAAAAGGATCTATAGATAAATGATAATCAATAAAAAGGTTGCTACATATGTATCAGCACATAAAAATCACATTTCCCTATATAAACAATATAAAGCTAAACAACAAAATAAAACACCATGTATACCATGTATACCTGGATAAAAATTGTCAAGGGGTCCCTGCGTAGCTCAGTCAGTAAAGCATCCAACTCTTGATTTCGGCTCATGTCATGGTCTCAAGGTTGTGAGAACAAGCCCCACATCAGGCTCTCTGCTCAGCACGGAGTCTGCTTGAGACTCTCCCTCTCCACCCCCACCCTGCTCTTCCCTGGACTAGCGCTCAATAAATAAATAAATAAATAAAATCTTTTAAAAATGTTGAGTACACTGGAAGTGAACAAAAACTAGGCAAGACCTCTTTAAAGAAAATTTAAAACATTATTAAGTGATTTTAAAGAAGATATAAATGAATGAAGATATACATCATAATCATGGATTTGAAGTTCAATAATGTAAAAATATTAATTCTCTGCAAAGTGATTCACAGATTCAATTTAACCCCAATCAAAATCTATGGAACCTGATAAGCTGATTCTAAAACTGATATGGAAATACAAAGAGCCAATAATACGTAAGGCATTTCTACATATACTCTACCAGGTATCAGGATTTATCTGAAAGTTATAGGAATTGGGGCACCTGGGTGGCTCAGTGGGTTAAAGCCTCTGCCTTCGGCTCAGGTCATGATCTCAGGGTCCTGGGATCGAGCCCCGCATCTGGCTCTCTGCTCAGCAGGGAGCCTGCTTCCTCCTCTGCCTCTCTGCCTGCCTCTCTGCCTACTTATGGTCTCTCTGTCAAATAAATAAATAAGATCTATAAAAAAAAAAAAGAAAAGAAAGTAAGTTACGGGAATTAAGGTACTATGGAAAAGAGGCATGAGCTCAAACAGTCTCACGCCCATATGGACACTTAGGTGTTACACAGAAGCCACGGCAGAGCAGGAAGCAAGGACAGATTTGTCAATATAAGGGTCTGAGACTTTTATCCATTTGTATGAAGAAAAAAATGAAATTAGACCTAAT